TGATGCCCCAGGACACACTTCTTCTATGATTCCCACGGTACAAGGCATGCACTTAGAACTTCGTAAATTAGGATCAGAAGTACGGTCAGAAGTATGGGCGATGGTAGAAATGAAAACTTACAAGACTGAGGAGTGAGTATTTTCACACTTACAAGGACAATCACAATCCTTGATATCACACTGAAGCGACAGGCTAGAGACAAAGCGGCGCCGCTTATTTTCCCTGTTTTTCACTATGACTGGCTTAGGGACCATTTCGGCACACAGAGGAAAAGCCGTGAGCTCTGGAGTATAGTCGTCAGAGAAAATCAAATTGCTAGCTTTGAAGAACTCTGCGGGTGCTTCCGCAAGGGCATATACCTTGTTCAACTTTAAGTAGATGTTTCTGGTAACCCTTCACACTGTGGTTGCAAACCAGCCGCCTCGCCTCATTCTATTACTCGAGTCAGTCCAAACTTCCTTTGAATTACATTCTTACCACCTACCCTGATTGTATCGAACCGGGTAATAAACTCCTTTTTCGTCTTATCAAGCTTAATTTTAGCTTTCTAAACCTGCCATGCATCCTCAAGGACCATCTCTCGTTCTTCACTCCCAGCTTCCCCAGACATAAGCTGGATAATACCATCATCGGGAGGGCTATCTGGGGCAAAATTGGCATTAATTTGACATACAATTACCTGCAGACAGGCATCCGCTCCTTCAGGAAGTTGATGTAGGATCTCTTTTAGCTCTTTCCGGGGGATTTCGAGATTATAATAGGCCGCAATTGCTTGTAGTCCGGTAATAGCGAAATGGTATAGAATCCTAGGGCTGGAAACTGATAGTATTCTTGGGAGCTGGGATGCCATGCTCGCGACGAAGGCAAACAAATATATAGAGGGATAGCTTATGTAGATAACATATATTTGGTATAATGTATAATTTACCATCAAGGATATCACTGAGTATAGGGATATTAAAGCTCTATATATAATGAGTTTACAGGCGTTTGTTTTCTAGCACTTGATCCATGCTGCATAAGCCCCATAGAGTAAGGCGGCTGTTAATGTAGCTCAGTTCGTCTGAGCATCCAATTCTGTATTTTGTGGCACATATTGTGATTTCAAATTTCATCCACATAGTTACCTTACGAGGATCTAAGGTGGTGGTGACTAGCAGCAGAAAAACAGTTTGGTTGCTTACACAATTCATAGCCACAACAGCTATGTCAGAAGACTGACTCGTGTTACCAAAGGCTTTTTGCCCCATATAGCGAAGCCAAAGCCATGGTTTATGTTATTATAATTTCAGTGCTCCTCTGCTATAGAATGAGATTGCACTTCCACTAGTTAACTAGCTGGAACTAGAATTCGTTAGTCTCCTCCTTATGGGTACCCTTTTACCTAATGGTTAATGCCGAAGACTCTGCTCGAAGTCCTGAGGTAATTAAACTTGGCTTTATACTACCTAGCAAAATTCCAAGTCTCTTTTATTATACCAGGTTTTTGGTAGTTATCAACTGTAGGTTCTGCAAGTCGAAGCAGAATGTTGATTTTAACTAGTTATCGGGCTTGGCACACGACTGGGCTCTTAACTATGGCCCGTGGAGGGGCAAGTCATGTGCACCTTTCGAACATCGATTTATGATGAGGGGCATAGGGATAGGTGTCGAAACAAAACACGTCTACCATATGCTCCTAAGCAACTGCATCACGCACGCTCCGTCACAAAGCATGCGGTCTAATATATAAACGGGGAAGTGAGAGGCAATTAGACACCCGTGGAACTGGACAGATATGGCGTCCCTTGGAGAAACCGCAGCCAAAGTTGCAACCAAGGTGAGAGCAAAGGTCCAACGAAGCTCTCATGATAAGTATCCTTGGTTATATCCTCGAGGCTGTGAAAATGAAATTGCACCAGTTATTGATATGTGGCTAAAGGTTTGAACGTCTTATTTTACCAGTGAAGTAAAGCATACTAATAAATCACTAAAAAGGATCGCGTAGCTGCGGAATATGTCCTTCAGAAAACTGGAAAGCGTTTCAAAGTAAACCCACGAGAGAACGTCGCCGAATCTATGCTGTCGTTTGGACAGACAAGGGCGGCACGCTTCCCAAACCATTTCCCGGCAAATATTTGATCATACTAGGGCTAGAGTATGTGGATACAAATAACGGTCTTCCATTTCTCAAAGAGAAAAACGCCTTAGATCACGGGGAGTATATCCTTCTTTCGGGTGATGATGATATGGTTTTTGGTTCCCAAGGGGGAGGAATATCGCTGTTTATTGTATTAGATATGTGAGAAACTGGGCGATAGAAGTCGCCACGGTTCTGTCGCCGGAAAGAACTTTCCACCCCCCTGGTCTTGGACATATCTTGGTAACTCAAAAGCTTCCCTCATCCACCATCCCACCCCAGGACAGCGGATGGCCGTAGGGAGGAAATACTAGTATATCCGTGGTCTGGGTGTTGGATATTGGGACAATGCCTGCATCATCTGTGTTTGCCCACGTGGTTAAGTCCCCGATTTGAGGAGACTGTGCTATATCGCCGTCATCAGCCCAATTTGACGGGTCTCCATACGTTGCGGATTCTAAAACAGTGCCTGGCCCCATGTCACTGGCAGTGTCTCAATGTCCAGGCTTGGAGTGGTTTCTGTCTTCAAAGGGAAGGCTACCGGCCAACGCGGTACGGCCTTTGTCCATCTCACCTGGAACATTCCCGTGCGTTATATAGCCTGAATTCTGCCCGTTGGGGTGTGCAGATACTATTTAGTCAAAGTCAGTACGTAAACAGCTCCAGTTTCTGGGTATAAAGCCATACACGATTGGAAGTGTTGCAACTGTAAACCTGACAGGCTGTTCGCCTCCAGCTCTCCGTCGGTTACTACCTCAGGTCCCATTGACGTCCATTCCGACGGAGTAGCCGCTACTTCCTCAGTAAAGCCCGAAGAGATTTCGGAGTTTGTGGGAGCGTTACTGTCTGCGGCGGCTCTAGCAAGCAAATCCAGGTTTTGGGTTGAATTCTCGATCTCCTGATCCATCGCATGACTTTGAGGTTGCTGTACTTCCTGATTAACTGGTTGATTGGCGGTAGTAGCTTGTTCGCTTGGAGCTCGCGCGAAATCATCTGGATTTCTATTTGTTAATACCTCTGGGTAGATATTGGCTAGGTCGCTTCCATGTCCGCCCTCCGTCCAACTTTGCACGTCGTGGGAACGATGTATCAACCCATCTTGGCTCCTTGCGCTCTGCTGGTTGCTCAATATAGCATGTAGACGGCGGCGTTTCTGAGTTTGTTGCGTAGTCTTATCCTGTCGTGGCCGTGTAGTCTGCTCATTTGCACATGCTTGGAAAGAAGCCCGTCTCCTGAAAGTTTCGTTTGGGCCAAATTCGCTACGCTTCCTGCGCCGACGTACTGTAGTTGGAGGATGAACTTCATTAGATACTGTGATGCCGTTATGGGTAGATCCAGGCTAACTTACCTTCCCCTTGTCTTACAGGAGAACCGAACTGCAGCCCCTGATAGAGGAATGGGATCTTATCAAGAAGGCTGCGCAAATATCCTATAACTGTCTCCGTAGCGGTACCGACTGTGATACTACCTCTATCGTCCACTGTCGCAGATGCGGCCTGCTTAATACCACGATCCAACAATAATGCCGTACAAGCGGCATGCACAGGTCCTTCCATCGGCAGGTGAGTTTCCCAACTATCCTAGTTAGAAGAGGGTCATCAAAAATTGCACATAGGGGCTGCTTACAGAGAATCGCCGATGTCAGGAAGGACGCAAAGGCTGCCTATCCCTAGTTCCTCTACCAATGTGTTATACCTCTTAGATTTCGATACCCATCCCGGTAGACACTTGCGAATTTTGTCTCTATGTTGAAAACGAAGGCTGGATTCGCTGATAAGCCTAAAAAGGTGGTCGTAGGTCTCAGTGTTTGCATGCGGATTGCCGAACTTATTAAACAGCTCCAATATGGGAATCAAAGACAGACGCCATCGAACTCCGTTAACTTGACGACTTTGGTCAAGTTCATACAGGTAGTTGAGGTAGTCAGCGGGTGAGCTCTCTCGACAGAGATTCTTTGAGACACCTCGAAAGAGTGATGATGGATCGTTATGTCCATTGTAAAGAGCACGTCCGACGGCCGGGTGAAGCTTAGGTGCGGGCGCTGCCCACAAGGTCTGAAAAGCCCGGTGTTGTATGATTTTCTCTTCACCATATTCATGGCGCTTTCTCCCTGCCTGACTGCTAATAAGCTGCCGTAGAGGCGCTGGAATTTCAAGACCTGCAAGCTGTTCTTTAAACTGATGAAATTAGAGGTAGATAGTTAAACGTTTCGGTGCAAACTCACATTCTCATCCTGAAGTAGAACTCCATCTATACGCTCATCTCCATTAACCTGACCACAAGCGATGATTATCCGCTCCGCAAGCTGTTTGCTCCCCATAGCCCCCATTTTCAGTTTGAAAGAGGAGAAGACAGTTACTCTTCATTATGAAGCTAGTTTTGTCGAGCAAAATATCAGATATCGACAAGTCAGTTGAAATCAAAATCGACGCTAACCACAATTCGATATCTCGGTTTACATGTAAACAGAGTTAGTGATTTTTGGTTAAGCGTCATCCTTAACTAAAAGTTCGTCCCCACTAGTTAAACCAGGGACCCGCTTCGGCACAGAACTTTATTGTTGAGGCATCAAAAGCTGTGGAACATCTGCCAGCCCTGGGAGTACATGTACGAACAATCGACTTAGAAGCTAGACAATCCATAGCTTGGAGCACTATCATGTAGTTAAAGCTTAGATCATGATATTCAATTGAGATGACCGCATATAAGAAAGCTGCTCACCGCTTCTCTCAGCTTGGACAGTTTTCTTCCTTAATCCAACCCCGCGTCGAGTCTGATCCCTTACAACTCTCTTACGAAATTTGAAAATATGCTTTCCCAACTCTTCTGCTGTCTTTCTCACTGGCAACCAATGTTACAGGAGCTGTCAACCGATAAGGATCCGCCAACAGGGAATTATACAAGTCAGCAGGAAATGAGCTACAAGGAGAAGCAAGACGCACCCTATGCTCCAACAGAGAATCCACCACATTCACGGGCTTATCTGTCTAGTCAGGGTTTCGAAGAAAGGAGTGTGGCCTTCTCCATTGGATTTCTAAGAATCTTCTCTGTTACATCAGAAACAGTTAATGGAGGTACGTAGTATTCCGGCTTCCTTTTAGACCAATATTGAGGAAACTAACTAATGAGTGAAGACGCTCGTACCCAGGATAGCAAACCAAGTGGGTTGCATTTAACAAGTAATGCATCCTTCCCGACAGTTGTATCCTGTTTCCGCCCTTATCCACCAGGTTTGAATGAGGCGACTTTTGAGCTACAGGGGGGGTATACATATACTATCAGGGATATGGTTCAGGATGCAGACCTCGATAGGGCGGTTATTAAGTGGAACGATGCTTATGAGACCTCTATGCAAGAACAGCGAGAAAAATTTGGAAAATGTGAAAGAGATAAATTCGCTGGTTTTTAATATAATTATGGGTACGGAGTACTCCGTCCAGGCCGCTCTACTTTGGCTTCAAATCATGAAGCTTTAAGGTTGTCCCGTTTATTGTGGATACAAGGGCTTGGCGGAGAGTTTGCTAGGCACAGCCAATTATCTATGAGGCTCTTGCCCCACCACCAACCTCTGCTAAATCCCAAGTCGCAAATAATACCTTATCACTAGTGTGTCAATATCTTTCGGGAAAAGAAGGGTTTTGCACACTAAAGCTCGAGGCCTATTCCAACTACCCCATATTAAAAGAATATTTGAATACAACATTGGCAGTTACCAATCAGTTTCCAGCTCCGGGATCCGAAAAGCGACACACCCAACTCCACGGCCCAATGTTTTTTGATCATGGTGGAGTAAGTGTCAGTGAAAGTTTCCAACTCAGACGCAGCTTATGCAGCATGCCCGTGCATTCCATGACTCGAGATTTTCCAATGTAATATGGCTGAGTGTCAATCAAAGTTTTCAAGCTTGTGAAAACTTACGCGGCATATTCACAGAGCCCACGACCCAAGGGTTTTTGATTGTGGCAGGGCCAAGTGTCCATCAAAATTTCCAAACCGGGAGCGGCTTATGCAACATACTCGTGCAGTCTATGACCCAAAGGTATTAAAATGCGATATGGCTGAGTGTCGATCAAAATTTTCCACTTGATGGCTTTTTAGCTAACATAACCGTAGAGTTCATGGACTAGGGATGGTTTCCACACAATCTCGATAATGGCCGCTATTGTCTAGGAGATATGAAGAATGAAGAATTTTACACATTAATTAATTCATCCTACCCTTGCTAACTACCTTATATTCATTTTATGTATGTTAATGCCTTGCTTCTAGCTATTCATTTGACAAACTATATCTCATTAAGATAGTGACACATTCATGATTACAATGCCTCCAGCAGGTACCCATGCAGCTGCACATTGCTACATTATGCGGAGGATACATCCGTACCTCCAAGTCAGCCATGACACCCATGCATGAACTAGTACTAGAATTCTAGCAGGGGAAAAAAGAATTGTGATATATAGCGCGGTGTCTCTCTCCTTCTCAATCCCTTGCTAGGTATTTTTTTTTTTCCCCTCAAACCAATTTCAATCAAGCCAATTGTTCGTATTATCAAATATTCGGTGCCTGGATTTTCAAAATGGTCGTCACAAAATACGTTCTGTTCGAAGGAAGTGGTAACTATCCAGCCCCCAACGACATGGTGAGGGTGTCATACTTATGCTATCCGTGGCACGGCCAAAATCAGCAGAGCTACCGCGAAGAGAAACAGTAAGATTTCCTCCACTCACACTGGATGGTGACTGATCTTTGGTAGAATTATCATCCCCGGAGATCACAGTTTTAAAGAATTCCGTATTGGGGACAAAATTGTTCCTTCTGGTAGTAGTACCTTAAGTATATGATCAGTTGAATTATACTAAGTGGCATTTTCCTGCCAGGACTTAATGAGGGCATCTCTAATATGAGGCCTGGTGAAAGAAGCATGCTCGTTATCCCTAGGTATAAAAATCTAGCGACTAATTATCATTAATACGGCCCGTTAGCTAACTTGAATTAGTGGCAGCGCATATGGTGATAAGTACGGGAATCTCCCCTCTTTGTGGTAATCCAGAATCCAGCTTACATTTTTAGGGGATTGCCTGGATCAATACCACCAAACTTGGATCTTGTATTGTATGAATCTCAACTTCTGATACCGATGTCTTGGTGAGCTGACAACTTATAGCATCGTCCATTTAGAGAGTATTACCCGGGAGAAGCCCAGTTCGGGGATATATGGCTGCACTTTCAAAGGTTGCTTTCGCCTCTTCGGTAGTTTCGATTCATGGGTTGCCCATGAAAGCAAAAACCACTCTGTACGACAGATCTGGCGGTGCCCCGTGGGTATTGAAAGTGGAAAAGAATGTGCGAGACTTTTTGAACGTCCCCAGGGGTTTAGGCAGCATCTAAAGCAGGGCCATAACCTTGAATCAGAGGACGCGTTTGTGAATATCTGCTATCTTGGAGGTGATTATCAGCGTCGGTTCTGGTGTGGCTTCTGCGAAAAGGCTTATCCAATGGCGAAAGAGGGGTTTGTAGCAATAGCTGGGAGACACAAGCATGTCGGTAGTCACTTTGAAAACGGGCAGAGTATCACGGAGTGGGTGGATGCCGGAGGTCACAAGCCAAATTGGGCCAGTGCTTCTGACGGAGTATTTGAAGTTGTTGGTTCTCCCCCGTTTGAGTGTGCGATTCTTAAAGAGGGGGTGATATCCAAGGCTCGGGCTATTGCATGTTAACTATACCTAGGTAGCTTCTTCAGTTTTCATTGCTCTGTCATGATCTCGCAGGGTAAATTCACATCTTTTTCGGATAGTATGTCTACAAAGTTCAGTGTGTAGTCAGTTACCTATCATCTAAGTAGTTACCCTCCCTCGGGGGAGTTATTCACATACTTTGAGCCTATTATACTAGGGGATCTATAGAGGGTCAGTAAAGCCCCTGAACTTCATTGTTAAAAAGTGTACCATTTGCTCCGTACAGAGCCTCTCCAGGTGTACAATAAACTAATGGCGAAAAAAAAAGTTATATGACTAGGGTCAATTGCGAAGGGTGGGACGGGGGTAACGTGTACATTCTTCCACAGGATTTGCAGGCAAGTTATTACATGGGATGGAGGTTACAACTGGATGCATCCCATGTCAAATCTCGTATTTATGCAGAACGATACTCTAAGCCATTAAAGAGAGAGGGGAAACTCATGTAAACCAACTGCCAACTCAAGAGTAGTATTAGTCAAGATTGCACTAGTTACAACTGAAAGTTTGCATGTGGATGCCTGTAAAGGCGTCAAAGCACACATAGCTGGTTTAATATCCTCAGCCAATTCTATGAATCAACTAATACCGAACTTCTTTCTACATTAGCTTCAAGAAATCCTTAGTCCAGGTTAGATACCTCATATAAACTTGTATTAGGTCGTATCGTCAACTGATATAGCAAGCTCTTCACCTAAAATTAAACAATAAAGAGGGAGAAATGGCCGACAAGTTTGAGAAAAAGAATAACACGACAAAGAGCGAGGAATCCAAGGTTGAAACAGCATCCTATGGGATTATAGCATCGCCAACTGAATTACAAACTGTTCTATCCTCCGGACAACGAGCAAGAGATGTGCGGACTGAAATACACCATGCAAAGACATTGGATATACTTACACGGAACCAAGGGAGCGCTGAAAGCCCTAAGAATCAGAACCAGAACTAAGGGTCTGAGGTCTCAGATGGAAGGAAAGCTCGTCGAAGATCAACATCATAGGCCTCCTTATCCTTTAACTTTTTTGTGAGAATATTCCCGATATCCGATCTCCACTGGAACGCCATTACAAGGCCATATTCCTCATTGCTATAATTATCTTTTCCGAGTTTTGTTTGGATTCGATCAAGGAATAAGCAGAAGATAGCAGCAGGACTCCGGAGAGCAAGTGAATACCATAATGTACCCATTTCCCATGCTTTTGTCATTATTGTAGATAGCCGAGTGCTCTTCATGCTATAATTATGCTGTTGATTCATAAAAGCATAATCTTCCTCTTGAGCTAAGATATGGACAAACTCAGTCCACATCTTCCTATACTCGTCCTCATTAATAGCATCCGCATACTCACTTGTAAGCCAATATGGCGGATGAATCATCTCAATAGGTAGCGAGCATCCCCATTCAAGATCAACAAGAGAGGTGATATTCCAGTGCTGATCAACAAATATATTACTCTGATGGAGGTCAGTCAGAGAAAATATAAACGGTCCTCGGCGTAATTCCCGACAAAAGAAGAAAGGGATAGAAATACGCATTCCTGATAGTGTTGCTATCTGTTGAATATAGTCCGAACCGTTATTAATAGCATTTGGCTGATAAAGAAGGCGGTTATCATGAAGGCTCACAATATCAGTAATATATGAGTCTGAAGTCTGATAGGTATAATCACGGGGTATATCAATAGGAATCTGCTCATTCTCGAGTTCTTGAATTTCGAGGGTTAAAGGTCGATTTGATAATGAGATAAATCCATTATTATCAATAGTAAATGAACCAATACATGGTAAAGGAACTCGGGCAAAACTTAGTAAGATACGGGCAAGACTTCGAAAAAGTGTAGTTCGCAAAGCCGTATTATTCGAGTGTGTTTGCCAGGTATTTGATAGCATTGTCCCTTGCTTTGGCTCAATATATTCTATCAGAAGGTATGCCAGATCGGAGGGAGGACTAAGAGCGAGAGGCTGATGGCGAATATAGGCGGATGGAAGAACAGATATTGACCAGATAAATTTGCTTGCCCAGAGGTATAACTGGCGGCGTATATACTGGTAGTATCTCGAGAAGAATGGCAAGTTTTTTCTAGTAGTAAACTAGAATTATTAGCTAGTGGTAATATTATAAATAATAAGTACAGCACACTTACTGATTCACCTGAAGATAGCGAAAATCCATAAAGTCTCGGAATAGGGATATGAGGATGGTTCTCTTCTAGCCATGCATATGTGCTTGCCTCACATCGTATTTTTTCATCCATATTACCAGGCCGAAATGCTTCACCAACTTTGTATGGAAGTGGTAGTCGGAGAAGTACTTGATTCCCTGGTTGCTCCCTTATCCAATTATGGATAGTAACTGGGATACACAAATTGAAGCTGCCCCAGAGCCATCTATGTGGGTCCGCGACATGACACTTCGAAGGAGTTATATTTAGATGATGAGCAACGACCCCCTTTATCCATTGCTCTCTGTTGACTAGCTCTGTAATAAACTGATTCTGCTTTTCTGGGTATTCAAGTCTGTGAAGAATATTGACCTCCTTATCTTTGGCCGAGGAATAGGAGATCTCTCCACGGAGAAGTGTCCGCTTCATGGTAACGAAAAGAGGAGCTTGGTTTCAGTATAGAATGAAGCTTTCAGAACACGGAGTTCAAAGAAATCCATTCGATGTCTACGACGCTAAAATATTCGGATAATCATTACTCCCGCAGCCAACCAACCGATGGACAACCGGGAAGAGAACCTCAAGTTACCAAATGTTTGTTTCATCGCCTAAGTAAAGTTTATCAGCTACCGCGCTAAGCAACCAACCTTATCCTAAGCGCGTCTCAACTTAATAGAATTAGTCATCCATTTATGCTTTACCGCGGCCCGAGAACAACTCCGACGTCGACCGGCCAGGGTCACCTGCAGTTCCAATCCAACCTCCACTGCCCGCCAGTATCTAATTCTCTAGACTCCAGCATCAACTCCGCCTATCCAAGCAACTACCTATGTCGTTGCACAGGCATCAGTCATCCCTTGAAGGGATCCTGGATTTTTTGGAGCCCTTTTCGCTTACTCCACAACAGTCTAGTTCAGCAAAGAGCCTCCTTGATATGCTCGTCAAGGAATATGGCCTCGATCGAGAAATAGAAAATAGATACAAGCCTGCTAAATTGATACATGTCACGCTAGAGCATGTCTTTTCAAAGGACTCATTCTTAACTCTTTTCTTCACATTTCTGCATGAGAATTTGACTGGTGCTACGTCTGACATTACGTTGGCACTATCATACTTCGAGGATATCAGTTCATGGGAGCCAACCGCGCGAAACGATGTGATGAGTGCTCTTGAAAAATTTGCACAATACATGGTTACCCAGTTCTTTCTTCCACGTGCGTTCAATTTGCCTCCTACTTGCGATTGCTTTCTAACTCAAGCAATACAGTTAGAGCATCATCCGTCAAGACACCGCAGCCGACACCCACCTCATTATCCACGATACAAGCGTCGACCCCTACTGGCACAAAACAGCGCATATCTGTCTTGAGACACGATTGCCTCATTCGTGATCACCATCGATGTATTGTGACTCGAAAATTTGACATTACAGAAGCTAGACGACGCGTTGCGCTTGACAAAAATTGTACAGATGATGATGGCAGGCTCCTTAAAACAGAGCGACGTGATAACTTCCAGTATCTAGAAGTTGCCCATATACTGCCACATTGCCTAACAAAAGTTGCTTCTGAGGATGAAGATCTGGTAGGAATGAGCCCTGCAGCGCCTAGCATCTTACTAACTGGATATGAGACTGAATCGAAGAAGATCGTACTCCGGATTCTGGACATGTTCGATCCCGGCATTACTCACTTCATCGATGGCCCGAAGATCGACAGCCCATCGAACGCTCTTACACTAACCATTGATAACCACCGGCTCTTTGGTGAATTCAAGATATACTTGGAGCCTACAGGCGGAGCGTATGAATACAGGATTCATTCCACCGAGGATGATTTTCTAAGCGATCCCTTTTTTCCTGTTACTCGCACCCTGATGCTCAGTCCCAACCGTACAATAGACCCCCCGTCTCCTCGGCTTCTCGGCATTCATCGTGCCATCTGTCTTATCCTTAAACTAAGCGGTGCCGCTGAATATATAGAGCACGTCCTTCGGGACTTGGAGCTGGTGACAGTGGAAGCAGATGGGTCTACACATGTAGGGGATATAGTGAGATTACGAATTGATGGCTGGATTGCTGCATTCTAGTCAGAGGAAGTCGTTCCCCCCCCCCTTTTTTTTTGACCGGCTTTTTTCAAACGCGAACGATACGCTAACTAAGGCTAAGGTTCCACGGGGTATCGCTACAACTATCAGTATTGAATAACAGAAAAATCATGAGACATGTCATTGATTGCTTTTACAAGCTCATACCGCTTCCTATCATCGCGAACTCTTGTGCGGGCGAAGATTGCATCTTCGATATCCCTCAGTGCATCGGTTGAGCTTCTCCCAGGAAAGAATTTGCTGGGGATTGTTGTTGAAATGGTATAGAACGAATGTCTAAAGGCGATGTCACGTTCTGGGCCATCACCCCTGAAAATTGCTAGAATACGATATTCATCTGGTGCAATGCCTCTTCCAACAAGGTGTTAGTCATGGTGGTTCCGTACATAGCCTTCTTCGGGAACAGGCCCTATGCCCAAGCATAGATGCGACTTTTTCCGCACTGTATACGCCGACTAAATACTCTGTCCAGGCAGAAATCACAACAACGTCCATCATGTTATTGTCCTCCAAATACTCCCGTCGCATCATGGCCCGCCTCCAATTGCTAAAAAAAGGATAAGAATCGTGTTGGTTTCTGTCGCCATGAGAGATGATCATCGAAATCTTGCCGTGATGGCGCATTATCATAAACTGTTTATCGTGCACATATATAGTTCTCTCAAAAACCTGTGTTTTCATGGCACTCGGTGCGAAACAGCATTAATGGCTTCAGCTCGTGGATCGAAGGACATTCTTGATTTCGATGCTAGATGCTCTATTCCAAGCATAAGCCTTGAAACCGAGTGTACTGCTCCCAAACTCTATCTTCCACTATTGACAGGCTTTCTACTTGACAAATATTGCAAAAGCTCAACAATAGTATGGACGAGGGGGGTGGGTGGAAACGCCCAGGCTCAATACTGCATAACAGAAGAAGGGATACGACGCAAGTTGGCCAAGCGGGCAGCCTGGAACTTCCAGACAGTGTGACACGATATTTTCCTAGCAGTTATATATGACAGCACCCAGAGCGAGTATCGAATATTTTCGCAGTCTTGGATGGCGTGGGTATGCTTCGTATTAAGTAGGGGACGCATTGAATAAGGGTTGGTGCTCACTGCTGTTTTCTAGCATGCTCGCCATGGCTCGAGGTATATGAACAGGAGTGACATAAATGCATAACTAGTTACCTAGTTACGAACCTGCTAGTTATTCTCAGTAAATACGCCCTAAACCCTGCGGCGTGTTGGCTGCGTCCGGGGGGGATTGTTGATTTCTCCCTTTTGCCTTTGATATTTTCTGGCTGCCTTCGCTTTCAAAAGCTTTGCTGTAGGTAATTAACTACATAGTTATACTAGTTCTAGAATAACTATCCATCCGCCTCAAAAGGCGTGAGAAAACTGCTGACCGAAAGGTTAACAATACCGAGACGGACCTGATGGCTTTGACGGAGATTTTATCTAGCCTACTCAGTTACGAACCCCAGGGGAGACGTTCCCAGCATCTCTACTCCGAGATATTTCTCACCTGAATAAATGACATGTTTTGATTGGCATAGACTCTTAGTATCTGAGTAGCCTTGACCTCCCAACATTAGCGTTTCCTCTTTGGTATAGCTAGATCTAATATTGCATGTGGTATTTTTGCATATTCCCCTTACCAGTTCGGTTCTACGCTTCAGCTTTAACATTACCTGTAGCAATTACTATTGTCCGCAGCGGAGGTCCTTTCGGGGGCTTTAATCACGGCCTTAGTATTGATCTAATTAATGGTCTAGTTGGTCCACTCTTGAGTCTTCCCTGGCAATTTGAGGCTTTTTGGGTATGCTGCTTCCGCTGATAGCTTCCTCTTCATTCGCATTGCCATAGTAGTAGGCTGGATGTGCCTTCTCATTATTAATTTTGACTGTTGATTGCCCTCTTTCGAGGCAGTGTGAGAGTTATGTCATCGGTAGGGCAGCACACAGGTCAGCGGGCAGACATGAATATAGACTGCTTGATCATTGATTATATCCTTTTTATCCGTTTAATTTTGCATTAAGGAGAAGAAAAAAAGAGAGATAAGGACTCTGTTACATGACAATCAAGAAAAATAAAAAGAGTGATTGAGAGCCGGCCATGCACTCTATCTTGTTTCTCACTTTCGCTGTCACATTTGATGGAATATCTCCTGGGCGGCAGCATGGAGGTCCTTAGCAGCGTCGGCATTGGATGTCTGGTTAGCGTAGAGATGTTAGCTCATTGCTCAAAATGATAGCCTAATCGGTAGTAGGGAGAAGGGACAAAGTTGCTTTTACATACCCTTAGCAAGAGGGGCACTGTTCGTCCATCCTCGACTCCAGCAATTTGTACGTGTTTTCCAGTGGGCTCCTTGCCCTCTGCGTCTCCTACTTTCATCCCTTTGTAAAGTGGAATGTTGAGGATGAGTCGGAATACGCCGTCAGTGCGCATGATAAATCGGGCAGATCTCTTCGTTGGCTTTGTAGCAGCAGCTCCGCCTTCTTCTTCGTCCCCTGCAGCAGATTCGGGCAATTTTTTCACGTTGAGCTTGAAAGTGCCGATGCCGCGTTCTTTCCATTCGCTACCAGTAAAGTGGAAGAGCTTCCCTCGGACAGAAAGATGTGTCTCTTCATCCTCCTCTCCAGTCTCGGCTATAGGTAAAAGGCACTGTCAGTAGATAGTTAAGGGGTTGACGTTTGGGTTGGAACGGCTTACTCTCTTGTTTGAAGAACCGTGTGTCTTCTTTCTCTTCTTCAAGCCCTTGGAAGGTTTCTCCCGTTTCCTCGTCACCTTCGCCATCATCTTCTCCTTCCTCCTCATCATCGTCCTTCTTTTCTTCCTTTGAGCCAAATGCTTTTGGCTTAGTCGTGGATCCAAAATTTGTTGGTTTAGAAGATGCAAAACTAGTCAGTCGTTCACCAGGTTTTGGTGCTGCCGCAGCAAATCCGCTGGCAAACGAACTCTTTGCAAATGCACTCCCACTGAAAGATGCACCAAAAGGCGAAGGTCCCGAGGTAGCAGCTGCAAATGGGGATGCTCCGGACCCAGTGGAGCTAGTTTTGCCATCTCCTTCACCTTCTGTACTAGGTTTGCTCTTAAAGATGGACGCACCGCCCCCAATTGCGCCAAAAGGAGAGGTTTCGGATCCTGAAAATGCAGCTAATTTCGAGGCTGCGAAGGCAGAAGGATTGGTGCTTTGCTCCTTCGCTGACTGCTCGCCTGGCTTAGTAGGGCTCTGCTTCGAGGCAGCCAAGGACCCAAATGGAGAGGTAGCAGAAGTGTTGGAGAAAGGGTTTGGTAGTGTAGACTATAAAAATAAAATGTAAGCGCACGTATAAAACGTCAATCAACAATCATCTCACGGCCTACCTTCGAAGCAGCAGTGGTGTCCTTTGGTTCTTCGGTATGCCGGTCCTGCGAGTTATCACGGTGACGCTTCTTCTCTGGCTCACCCTTGTCTGCGCGGCTATTAGGTGAAGCTCCCAAGCTTTCCAATCCTGCATTCTCCTTGGAAGGGTCAGCGGTGGAATCATCATTCTCTTTCGCACTTTCGTCGTCTGCTTTTGAATCCAAGTCCTTGTCGAATTGGTCTCTGCTTCGCTTCTTCTTTGGGCTTTTCACCTTTTCTAGCTCGAGTGTGGATGTTTCTGGCTCGGCATCCCGTTCAGGGGTCGTTTCCATTTTCGAATCCCTAGAGCGCTTTCTCCTATGGCCACTTTCTTCGTAGTGACCTGACTGTCCGTCGTCGTTCATCAGGTCATCGAGAGACCGCTTCTTCTTCAGGCGTCCACGCTCGGTTGTATTCGTATCGGTCTTGCTGCCTTCTGGCAACTCGCCGTTCTCCTCGCCCATGCTGGTTTGTTCGGGTGCTTGGTCTGGGTTTGCAGTCCCTGTTCCCGCAATGGAAGTCTCCTTTAGCTTCTGACGGACTGGTCGCTCACCGCCGCCGTCTTTATGGGTGTCAGAACACACTTTCTCGCGGGTGAATTCTGTAATAATTCGTTCGGGGGGATCACTAGGTAGAGTAGAACTCTTCGTACCTTCAGAGTAATCGCCCGTGTCAGGGTCAACGTCTTGCTTCGACTGATGCTGTGGTGGTGATTGTCCGGATGTGTCGTCTATTGAAAATGCAGGCGTCAATAACTATACAGAACTCCCATATTCCAAGAGAACTGCACTAGGACAGTAATTGCTCCAGTCACAGGCTCTTATATCAACGTGCAATGGCTCTAACCGCCCATATATCGCGTGAGGCGCTGGCCTCGCAACTCCCGCGAGGTGAGGAAAAGGGGGCAGGATGGGGGCGGAAAAGTGGTAATGGCAAATGCACACCTTTCAGAGCACCATTCTCCTGTCGCAAGCTATCAGGAGAGGCCATGTCAACTGCTGGATCTGGTTCCGCGGCACGTAGTATCTTCTTCTGGCGTTCGATCTCTGGTCGAATGGGTACTTCGGTCAGGTAGTTGGTTAGCGGGGGGGGGTTCAAGGGACCAGCGAAAAAGGGCTCCGACGTCCGCTTGTGTGGCCGGGCGAAAGAGACGAGAAGCAGGCTGTCTCCGAGCAGAGAGTAGTCTTCGGACGACAGCTTAGACGAGGGCGCTCGACGAGAAAGAGGCGGCTTGTGCCAGCTGAGAACAGAGGAGGAAGAAAGAAAAAGAGCGAGAACAGGTTGTAGGTTGTTGGTTGTTGGTGTTGTTGTTGCTTGCTAAGACCTTGCGATGTTTAATTTTAAGACTGGGGGACTTTTCTTTTCGCTGCTCGTCCGTCTAGTGGAGACAGCACATCAACTCCCGCTGAGATCGGAGGGAAAAAGGAGACAGAGACAGGAAGAGGCGGCAGAAGAAACAATGATGATGATGCTTATGATGCTTAGGACGATGATGATGGGATCTGTCAGACGACTTCGGCGGGCTGCCTGTGGCTAGGCTTCTGCCTGGGCTCACATGGAGCGGACAGCGCGGTCCAAGGCAGACACAGCGAGCAGACGACAGCGAGATGGAGAGCGGACGAGAGAGATCAATAGCCTATGGAATGTCTTGTACAGATATGAAGATTAGGTACATTACGAGATTATCTCGGTGCCGTTTTGAGAAACTCCAGTCTCGACCAAATACCAACAGCGTCAACACCGCTATGAACAGGACACGATATCAGTCCTCGAGCAGCCCCAAAGCCGCATCTGCAATTACTCTCCCTTCTGACGTGGCTGCAAAGCTCAGGATACCCCCCTTGGACCGGAAGTTGACCTCTATCGTGTAGTTGAAGCGGTGGTACGTCTGTCCATCCGACGTGCTCTTGCGCGTCTGGAAGTCGTTGAACGTGGATGTCGAAAAGGCAGGGCATATCTCCCCTACCTTGACAACACGGTGGTGGTCTTCTCTCTCCGGCGGCTCGTCCATGGTGCAGGAGAACATGGTGATGTTCTCGTTCAGCGGCTGGCCCAGCTTGAACGTACTCTGGATGTCCGCCTTCATCTTGAAGTTTTCGTCCAGTCGTTTTCCCTGTACAGCCGGCAGTCAGTCAGGCACGCCTCATCTTATTTCCTGTGACGAGAATCAATTTCTGAATGCATACTTTGGGAATCACCCACTCCATCCTCCCGCTGCACATCTTCTCGCCAGTGAGCGGATCAGTGTACGCATTTGCCTCGGGGTCGATGCCTTTCCTGAATCGTTTTCCCCAAGACCAGCCATAGTGCGCTCTACTATGAGTGATAACAGGCTTCAGCCCTTCTAAGCCGCGCAGACATGCACCCTTGACAATTGCAGCTTGACTAATGGCGATTAGCAATTGCATATGACGGGAAAATCCACCTCTCGGTGCTGCTTACCAGTCCGGTGGACATGTCACAGAGCCGATGTTCTTTCCTTTGCACCATTCACCTAGCTTGGTATTGAGATAATCTGAGTCCCCGAAGCCTCCAACAAGTATAAGCCGCTATAAGTTGTTAGTTGCTGCTTGATTGAAGAAGCTCTCCCAGTTATGTAAACTTACGTCAATTCTCTTCTTCTTTTTCTCAGCAGCTTTTACCTGTGACTTGACCAGAGCTATAACTTCCTTTACGACTGGATCGAACAATCGCTGCATGTCGTATTTGGAAAGCTTCACCACCAGTTCGTCATCATCATAGTGGACACTTGGCCCAACGTCCATCCGGATAGGCCCAACTTCCACTCCTCGATCGTCGTTAGGACCTCCAAAGTTCCGCTTCGCACTCTCAAAGGAATTCATGAATCTACTTCCTGGCCCTCGTAACCTCATTGGTACCGAGGTATATTCCTCTCCAAAGGTCTCTTGCATCCACTGGTTGAAATTTCGGTCGATATAAGTCGATCCGCATTTTCCTCCTACATTGCGGAACATGATCTGGTTAGCTACCGAAGACTGACTTTCCTTGATATGGATAGGCAATGATACCTATGCCAACACAAAGCTCTTCAAACTCTAGTCTTGGTTCTGATTTTAGAACTATATATGTGGTGATGTCGACCGTACCGCCTCCGCAGTCACATATCAGGATACCCTCGCCTGGCTATATCTGGAGTCAGCTAATACACGAGCCGCCACAAATTTAAAGGTTGCATACCTGGACTGGATCAATGGCATCTGGTCCCAGGTGTGGTTTTATTGCTGAAAGTGCGGCGGCTTCGGGCTCCTTGATCATGAAGATGGAGTCGTACGGCCTTGACCCGAATCCTGCAGCTTCTGCGGCTTTCCGAGTGGCTAGCTGGGCTTGGTCTGACCAAATCGCTGGCATGGTCAAATATATCTCCATTGGGGTGGCATTGAAAACACCGGCTCCCATCTTTTTCTCGAGCTGGTGGATAAGATATACATATAACTCCCGGAAATAATCTTCGATCACGGACTGTGCGCTTTTCCCCTTTGGCAGACTCATTAGGCCGGATCCAAAAAGGTCCTTCAACGATGGATCATCGTAACCTGTTAGCTGTGCACTTTTGTCTAGCAACAGTTTGGTCCAGGAATAACACATCAAGTTTGGAGAGACCTGAAATCCCCATTGATCTGCGGGTATCTTGCTTTTATTTTCTGATGCATATGCTATTCTCGACGGGACCTTCCATGTTGAATCCCGATGTCCAGGCCAAGTATTGATGACATTTATGTCTTCCAACCGCGTCTTGGTAGACTCCGCCCAGCTGACGCCTATAGCATAAATGTTAGATGCTTCATCCTCTGACATTGTGCTTGTTGCGATCTCAAACCTGAATACGTGGTTCCATAGTCCACTCCCACAATTATTTTGTGGCGAGAGCCTGTGTCTAGCGCATCGCTGTCTTTCATTGAGCTGGATATTTGGCAATATGCCTCAAATCAAAAAGTGTAGGTGCTGGTGTAGAGGTTTCCAACAACCGCAGATATCAGGAATTGTAATATATCTCCTCAGCTCAGTGTAAGCTGTCTTCATTCCTGTTTGCTCATTTCTCTACACAGGAACACAAGGGGGTTTAAAACCTTCGTTAGTCCCTGCCCACATACAGGCATCTAAACACAGCCTTCTAATATCACCCATGCCTATCTCAAGTCATGAACCCCGCAAGGCCGAGCACATCTGACAAGGCTGTGATAACGGGCTTGGACGCCTTGCATCATGCAGCTGTTGCCCGAACATTGTGACAACCGACTTCGTTAAGTTTCCACCAATGATAGCGATGGTCAGACGAAGAGATACCGCAGCACAGCAAATTGATAAAAGCAATCATGCAGACCAGCCAAGGGACAATGCAAACGGGCCTAAAGAGATAATAGGCTCTCTCTGTGTTCTGAACCTTCACTTTCGTCAATATTCGTGCAGCCGACTTGCGGGGAAGCAAGTGGACTATCATGCCTGCATAGCCAGCCTTGTCCAAAGTCTTTGATATATCACACTCAAGAGCGCAAGCTCTCTGCACGATATTCCACGCTTCTATCTAAGCTCTGCTGACTGGATGGCTGTGGTGGGGACAGTGAGCGCAAGGGCTATTAATACTTGTTGACCGATATCTCCTTACTTCAGTTTACGCCGCCCTTTCGAAAGAAGGCTTCGTTTTTCAATGTTTAACTGGTACGGTGATGGGTAAGTCTTCACGTCGGAACTCAAGATCCTCGAGACGTCGGTATTCAACTACTTATGAATTTGAACTAAGGCCTGGATACCCATTAAGCTATCTAGAGGTCAACCTTGCCCCCCGATGCTGCCGGTTTCCAGTCCATGGTTTTTATGACATTCATAGTGCTTGATGATTTGAATGCTGATGACTTGTATAGGGTATGGCTGCGAAATCATCCAAAGAGCCGAGCATGACTGAGCTACAGGGAGGCCGGCCAGGGTCTTCGAGCAGGCTCAATGATCCAACAGTTGTTGAGATAAAGCCACGCCAGCATGAGAATGGAAAACCACTAGCTGAACCTGAAAGCGGCCCAAAACCTCCACCAAAGAACGATGAACAGCCGCACAATGGGGAGCCAACAGGCACAGACAATCGTGGAAATGTTTCGGCAGACAGGCCGCAAGTACACGGAATCCCGGATGGACATCCGTATGATCGTGGAGTCCGGGTCACCCACGTTTGCTGTGAGGTAGAGTCTGCACCAACAGGGAGTGCGTGGTTTTCATCTCGACGTTCCAACAAGTCTCGCGAGCAGGCAATGGAGCAGGAAATCCATCAATTACGATCAGAAATTGGACGCCAGCGCCAAGTCATTACTGAGCTACAAGAAGGAAATTCATTCACAAAGGATGAAAATTTCCAACTGCGAGGGAAAATACGAGAGCTCAATGGCTTGATCCGCCGGACACAGGAGAGAGCTTTTGGAGAAATTGGCCAGGGGAAATGGGCTTCCCAGCCCGACAGAGATATCCGTGATGACCTCTCTTTACTTCAACGTCAACTAAGAGACTGGAGCAAAGAGTACGCTCTGGATTCCGCAAGTAGCCTGCAGGCGTTGAAAATGAGCGAGGAAGAAAAAGACGAGTTTCTATGCAACTTAAGCAAGGTGGTAACACTCAGTGAAAATGGTAGTATCCCAGCAACGCTACGGTCGGGGAAAATGGAACGCCGACTACCATCTATCCTGCTAAACGCCCTAGTGGCTCATGATATCTATACTCAGATATTCGACGACCCTTTCTATTTCTTGGGCCAGACTAACGGCTCAGATGACCAAGATTCCTCAGTTGATGGAACTCCCCTTGTTAACGAGACTCTAAACAGAATCTATGCAGAACTAAAGAATCGTATGAAGGCTTCCTTTCTCACCACATGTTATATAAGACCACTAACATTTTGTTTGTTCCCATAGTCGATGAACGGGAAGCTCATATCTGGCGGTCTCAGTTAATTCGGATATACAATCCACCAGAAGGGAGTGCCCTTGGTGAGAAAGAAAAGCTAGCAGCTAAGAAGATCCATTCCCGAGTCCATCGTTGCAGTGACTATTTTGCCACTATCTTTCATACGGGACCAGCAAAATATCTCTTCCGAAAGATTCCCAGTGACCAGGAAACAACCCGCCTTAATAAACTCCGGGATATATTTATCGATGCCGGTGAGCTATCGTCCAGGCTTTGGACTCAACGAACTTATATGAAGAGTCAAAACCTTCCATCCTTGAAGTTGGAACAGTTCAAAGTCTCCTCCCCGTCCATGGAGGCCCATCCTTCTCAAGGCCTAGACGATGACGAAGACAACAAGTTAGACGGCTCGAGGGTAGAAGTTGTCATACACCCCGCTCTTCTCGCCTTTGGTAATGACGATTGTGAGAATTACCATATAGCCCGCGTCTGGGCTAAAGCTGTGGTTTTGCTAAGGGCGACAAGATGATATATGCCTCCATGTATTTATGTATTATCTGTCTTTTTAACTTCTACATGTCCGCATTTTCGCACTTCCTATGGCTGGCTGCTGTGGTTTTACTTTCCCCCTGAATCACACCTATAGCAACCGTATTATTAGGTACCCAGCCCCCCTAACTAGTCAGTGCAATCAAATGCTTGAATATCCACTAGTTAAGCCTTTGCTAATCCGTGAGGCCCAAACTTGCTAAAAAGAAGCTTTCGGAACTCCTGGACTGTACGAAGTGTTCAGCTCCATTCCCTGCTCAGCTTTCTCTCTCATAGCAAGTCTCTGCTGCCCAAGTCTCACTGTGAACCAAAGTCAGGTAGGCTGTAACTAGTTTACAGCAACGATCTACCGCTCACCACAATGCACATGACCACGGAGGAGGGCGGAGTCGACCCCTCACGCCCTCGCTTCACCTCGCTTCAGGTTAGCCGAGTCCGTACCATGCGGGTGAGTTCAGGCACGCCTGATGCCTCATGCACGAACATGGTTGAGATGCATGCACTCTCACAGCCTCGCGAAGAGAGAAGTTATCTCGTTTTAGCCTCGCTGCGGCCAAGGCACCCTAGTTATCGCCCTCTTCGTATGACGCATGGGCGAAATTCAAAGGCAGGCTTGTCTAGAGAGGCTTGTGATTGTTGCTATATAGAGAATCAGAGAACCGTTTCTCATAGCATGGCAGCAGAACTGATCAATATCACACTTGTTACCGTCCACGTAACTAGTATCAAAGAATATACTTGTCCATACCACCGACCATGAAGGAGCGCCAGAAGGCCTTTATTGCGGTGATGGGGGTGACTGGCTCGGGGAAGAGCACTTTTATACAGACAGCTACTGGATCTGATGATGTCCATATTGGCCATTCGTTCAAGTCTTGTAAGTTACAACTATCATTGTGGTTATTGGTCATTGCTAACATGTGTTCATATGTCAATATTTAGGCACTGCAGCTGTCTCTGCCCATACATTATCTCTGGACGAATATGACGTTACTCTGATTGATACCCCTGGGTTCAACGACACATTTCGCAGTGAGACGGAGGTTCTCAAGGAGATTGCCAACTGGCTTGACTATACATACCGCAACCCTCCACACGTCATGCTCACAGGCATAATCTACATGCAATCAATAACTGACCGTCGCATGTATGGCTCTACTCTGCGAAATTTGAAGATGTTTAGGCAGCTTTGTGGTGAAAGTCCTCTACGCAATGTGGTGTTCACCACAACTGGCTGGGGCACTGCAGAAAAGTCAGGAGAGCTATCAAAAGCCCTTGAAAACCAAGAGTCTCTCCGGTCAGATCCCGACTTCTGGGAGCCAATGATCAGAAGAGGATCAACTATGGCTAAATTCGAAGACACTAAAGCCTCTGCTCTGGCTATTATCATGAGCATTGTTGAGCGCAACCCAATTCTCCTCAAGATTCAGGAGGAATTGGTAGATGAGAACAAGAACCTCATTGACACCGCCGCCGGGCACACAGTTAATGAAGAAATGAAGAGGCTCGAAGAGAAATACACGCAGGACATTGCCAAAGTTCAAAAGGACATGGAAGAGGCCCTTGCTGCTCGTGACACCGAATACCATGCAGCTCTCCAGGAGGCCAAGGAGAATTATGAGCGTCTTCGTGATGAAGCTCAACGAGCCCGGGACTCTCTACAATATGAAAGGCGTAATGAAAAACGACGCCTCACCAATGAGATAGAGGGTATGAAAAGGCAACTTGAGCGAGACAAGAAGAAGCATGAGGAGTATTTGGAGCTCAAGTTCAAGGCCCAGCAGATTAATGAGGAAATGAAGTATGAAGAGATTGTCAGGAAGCTCCGCGCAAACGGCCATCTTCTCCGGGATGAGGAACGCCAGGTCTTGGAAATGAAGATCCAAGAACTGGAGGCCGCATCTGTCAATGGAGGAAATGCTGTCAATGGCAATGGTAAAAAGAAGAAAGGTAAGGGAACCAAACTCCTAATTGGGCTTGCACAGGTCTTGGGAAGTGTCACCATGGGCTTACTAGGGTTTCCCATGCTCTTTGGAGATCCCATTGGGACCCTTGCTTCAATATTCTAATAAACCTTTCCTGCCTTTACTTTTGTAACTATCATTCTAACTCGTATGAAGTAATATACTAGGAATGTAATAAGGGTAGTAAGATAACATTACAACACCGATCGTGGATGGGCAATGACCAGGCTGTAGTTTAGTACTTGCTATTTTACTTTTCTCGGCTGCAATTAAAAATATTATTAGTTTGTTACTATCCGCTATTCGAGAGTCAAGTCTTTATTATGAAAGGTAGCTTTGATGATATTGAGCCAACAAATTATATACAGGAGCGGTAAATATAATATATGCATGGAGATGGTCTGTACCGGCTAGTGCAGCAAATATTAAAGGTATGCCTTCCAGGCGTGTGCAAGTAAGTAGTCTATACTCATAATGAAAACAACAGGGCCGAGGTCCAGCCTAAGCAAAGGATATAAAACATGGTGGCCAGTCATTGGTCTTTGTTCAAACTCCAGAATCGTCCTGAAAGTGACCACTTGGGTTCCAATAATTGGTTTTATCTGAGTGCCAAGCATCCCATCTTCGGCAGTTTTCTTGCATGAAGTCGAAATCGGGATTATTTAATGTCAAAGCCTTCAAGTCCTCTTTGCGTTCAAGAACCTGAAGCGCCAGTCCTGCAGACGCATGCCATGCAATATGGCAATGTAGCAGCCATGAGCCCGGGTTGTCTGGCTTAAAAGCGATGACAATGAACCCACCAGCAGGTAATAAAGTAACGTCTCGGCGCGGAGGATTGTCAAGTTTGAGGTTGACCTTCGTAGAGTCCCAAGGTTCCATAGATTGCTGTAGAAGCACGAAGTCATGGCCATGCAAGTGAATCTATATCATCAATGTTAGCTGTAAGGGGATATTGTTGTCAGGGAGATGATATCACATTGACTTACGGGATGGGCGACAGCCACTTGGGAGCTAAGTGGTTTTAATTTCTTCCCTGTGATGACGAGATAAACCCACTTATCGTTGACATAATCGTCCGCTGGATATACTACCCATGTTGAAGGGAAGCTCTCCTTGTCGAGGTTCTTGATAATAGGCTCGGAGTAATTAATCCACATTGGGGATGGTCCAAACTCCCAGTTAGAGACCAGGTTATCTGTGTCAGGATATCCAGGGCGATGCCATTTGCCCAGTTGTACATCGGCAGGTTTCTCGAAGGCACCGACCATATTGAGGCCTGGGTCCGGGACGGTCCATTTCACTTTAGGTACTAACTTTTCTGGTGGCTCGTCACGGCAGTCTAAGGAGAAAGCCCCTATTTCGGTGGTTGGAGATACTCCATCGTCTTTGTTGTAATAAATAACGCCAGTTCGGTCATCAGTGCCTCTGCCCGGGGCAAATTTTGAACATCCATTGGCGGGAGTGGTTCTAACCCAATATCTTCCATTCTTCTTTGCCTCCTCTTCAGATAGCCCTTCAAGGATAATGTGATAGCGCTGGCCTGCACAGACATACTTAGTCATGTTGAGTTACGTGGGGCATAAAGTGAAATATCACTTACCAATTCCAACAGCGATGTGGTCAGTCACATAAGGCTCAATTGGAACAAAGTCTGACCCAGCAACTTGAAATTTATGGCCGTCAATAGAAAAGACGAATGTCGTGGCAACCGACGTATTGATCAGTCTGAGAAGATACTTTTTGCCCTTTTTAGAGTGTTAGCAGGTTCCAATAATTGAAGCTTAGGATAGCGGCACTAACAGGTTTAAGGACAGTACGGTATTTTTTCTTCAAATCACCAGTTTGGTCGTAATCGCCTATCGAAATATTAGCAATCAGTAGATTTAGCATTAAATTGTACACGTTTGGCAGGGAATTTTACCCTTCCCGTTCAGGATAATACTGTCCATCGCAGGGGGCTTTCCTTCCAATTCCTTGTGATATTCCTCAAATGCACTACTGTGGAGGTGATCTGTCATCAATAGTGGGTCAACAGCCTTATCATAGCCCGCTGACGTTGGCCCATGGATTGTCATTGGCCCAAAGAGGCCATCTGCATATTGTAGGGAATAATGACTGTGATACCAGCTGGATCCATACTGGCTAGCCTTGAATCTGTAAGTCATTGAGGAGCCTGGAGGGATAGGACATTGAGTGACGCCTGGTACACCATCGTTAAACATGTTTTCCATCATCCGGACTCCATGCCAGTGAATAGCAGTTCCGTTATGTTTCAACTTGTTGGTGACAGTAATTTCTAACGGTGACAGTTAGTAAGTTACCTCTCATGGTTTGTTGCATTTAACTCAGGGTTGACATTACCAAGGTCATCTCCCCAGCATGCCTCTAGACAGGATATTAGCATGATATCAAATGTAAAGTGCATATCTATCATTTGGCCACTCACGAATCCACGGTCCGGGATATTGCTTATTGAACACTTTAGCTTGGTCAAACATTGTTCCGTCCATGTTCACAGACTCATCTGTTACTTCTAAGTGGTACTAAGTGATAACAGTTTAGATCCATTTCAATTTGCTTTAAGAGGGCAGGTTGCAGCTTACCTTCCGTGTAATCCCTTGAGGAACATATTTATCATTGTCTGTGTCAATGTTATATTCTGTGATATCCCCTGGTTTTGATCCAACATATTTTAACCAGTCGCCATTCTTCTTATTGGAATACGTCCAGCCTTTCATGGAGGGATATTCACATCGAATGATACGAGTGTTGAGATCAGTACTGGGAAGGGGATTGAACATAGGGAAATCATCCCTGGGGACATTCCTTGAAGGGGCTCCGTGAGGTTCCGGCCATGCCAGCGCACTTCCGATATAAAGAGCAGCCAAGCCAAGACGTTTCAGTGTGGAAAGCGGTATTAAATTGAGAGACGCCATAGTGCCACACTCAAAGAAAGAACGCAAGCATTGAAGATGCCGCACTGTTCTTAAATGACACTGGTGCAAGTCAAAAAGACGAAAGAAGACAACTGTGGGTGATCGACGTTATTTATCAATCTCATAGATGGGCCTCGAAAATAAAAGGGATTTTTATAAAAAAACCTTCCACGAGACTGCGGATCCTATCATTAGACAAGAGAACACCCCTACATGCCCAACGTAAACTTCAGGAGAGCCAGAGGCTAATGGGTAACTGCGGAGTCATAATGATCCCACAGACCAGCCACGTTTTCCACCCCGGTCATCCAGATCTGGAGGTATAAAGCCGAGTCAGAAATATTGTGGCTGCCTGCTTCAAGCAAAAGGAATATTAGACCGAACGAGATTCTGGCAGAAGACCGGAGCTCCGTTCATGGTTCTGAAGAGTAATGGTTCGAAAGAAAGCAATTGGCTTTACCGTCCAAGCGGCAAACCTGATGGAAGCCCGATGGGTTGCTGAGAAATGAGACCATGGAGATCCAGGACTATCTGAAAAAGCAAAGGTAAAAAGAGGATGGAGACAGTTAACAGACGCATTGCGGCTTGCAAGGCGATCCGCCCGCATCCGAGCAGGCATAACATGTCTCGAAAAAACTCGTAAGTCCTGGTACGGAGAACGGAGTACAAGCTAAGTTCTTGACAGTTAGACCTCTGTAATCATGCCACTTCATCTAGTGGTACTCGGTGTACAAAGAGAGATTTTCCATGGCACTATACGAGCGGACATTATCACTTCTCGAAGAAAAGTCAACGCCATATTGCATATTTTTTTGTTTCGACTGCTCGAGGTGTCAAGTCCTTGTCAAATGCTGCAGCCAAAAAGGCTGATATGAAGTTAGTCCCAATCAGCATCGGCTGGACATCCTTGTTCTCCATACATACGCCTGGTTCTCAGCCGCCAATCCTGGCTGGTGTGGATGGAAATAGAGTCCTTGCAACGGAGGTTAAAACTGCCGCGGGCTTGTTTCCGGGCGCTCTCCCGCGGGGCCCCGGCTCTCGCTGCACTTTGTCGTGCATCGTACACACGAGCTGCTCGGTTGAAGCGATGTTTCCCCTTGGCTCAATAACTGTCCGGCTTGGTTGTTTCGCTGGGGAGGCCATGAAGCAACAAGCTGAGGTTAAGGCGGCCGAGGAGTGAGTTACTTACATAATCACCCTTTTTCCCTCTAACTCGACGTCACCCGTCAAACGTCAAACGTCAACACACTCGACGGCCAACAGCAGCAGCAGCGGTCTCCCGCACTGTGGCCATCCATATACACACCCGCGGGCTGGAGCGTTTGATTTTGCTGCCAGTTGATGGCCGTCTCTTATTGCGAGGGACTCCCTGTCTCAGATGAAATCCTACCTTGCACCTTCAAGCTTTGTGGTGCTGTTGTGCTGATTCCCTATAGGTCAACAGCTTTCCAGCAAATTCGACATGCATAGACATAAACCCTTAGCTTCACCAGTTTCTGTCTAGTACTCCGATGAATCGAAACATGTCGTCTGCGTGATTCAATCGGGCCCTGCATATTCAGCCTTAGGAAGAAATCGGCTGAAGTTGCACTCCATACTACTCCTTCAGCCTGTTCCAACTGGGACTGCACAGGTTGAATGTTGATACGCGAAGCATCTAACAAAATACTGAATTTGCTGGAAATTGAGCTGCACCAGGAATTCTCCCTGTCATACCACTGGTTTGTTGCCGCAGATCTTGTACGCCACCAGCTTGATTGCCGTCCAATCGACAAAATCCGGCTGTTCTCTAGCGGGCTCAACATCCTTCACATAAGATTTTCCAGACAGTAACCGTGGTAAATGTATAGTGGAGCAAAATGCTACATTCCCTGCAGCACGATATAAATAGACCTTTCTCATATTCGTTCACCCTTTTCTTCACCCCGAGAGACAATCCCTGGAGCTACGTGGTGTCTGGATCCGTCGGTGAGGATCAACACCATGGAAGGAAATACTCCATAACGGAGCTGAGCTCCCCGTACTCTTACTGTAATGCATTGTCCTCATGGAAGTGGCGAAGAGAATCAACATCGGCGCTGTCCCGTACAACTAAACATACCATTAGCTCTACGGGGTATATAGATAATATATGCCGTGACACTTCCCCATTTCATTGCACAAAAAGTGGCTCGAAGTGAAGGAGAAGTGACGAGTGCATTGCTACGACTTGAGACGATGGAGAAAGATGCTAAAGGTTATGCCGGTTCGGGCTTCAGAAAATTGCTCGATCTCATGCCCGAGTAGCCCGCCTAATCCGAGACGGAATGTAGCCGGGGGCTGTTCTCCATACTGCTTACAAGTGCTTAATATCAAGGGACCATGTCGATAATAATTTTTTCATTACGTAGCAAGTAAGACAAGGTATATGACGTATGATACAGCACGCGGTCAAAATGTGGAGGATGAAGGAAACAAATAATGAAATGAGAGCAACGAGCGAATGGACTCCCAATCATTATTATATCTGTGACAGTTTCAAGGCAATCTTGAGATCCTGATCTCTCTTCGAGAATGTCTTAGCAAAAGTTCCACAGCATATAGAAAGGGTAAATAATCTTACCTGCCTCTACACCCTTTTTAACTGATAAAGCATAAACACCCAATACCCATGTAAAAGACTAATAGGGGGTAGACAGCGAGGACCACCCGGTTCTTGACGACTCCCGAGCCACCCAAGATACTCACTCCCGCCGCCAGGGACCAGGCCACGAGGACGAGATAAACAGGAATGCGGGCTATAGTAGGAATGTTAAGAGCGCTTAGGAGCGCAGCAATAACCAGCGGGAATAGCGTATAGCCGATGAGACAGACGGATTGAAAGAATGAACTGAAGGTTGGCGTTAGTCGGGTGAGTCGGTGTTAAACGGACTGAGATAAAGCAAATGCATCGCCGCGTAACGCAGCTGAAGCAGGAAAAGTAAAAACAAAACTTACATATTCCCACCGAGCAACTTGATCTGCAGCGTGACAACGGCTTCACCAATCCACACGATGCAGAATACTCCCGAAAATACAAGGCTTGACTGGTCACCTTTGCCCATTGAAAGGAACATACTCAGCAAAAGACAGAAAATTAATGGGCCCCTAACAGGTCATCGGACGTTAGCCAAAGGTAATACCGAAAGGATGAATGGGTCAGGAGAGCTATACCAAAGATCCCAGTTTCTAAGTCCTTCACTCATCCCACCTTGCAAGACGACATCTGCATCTGGCAGTCTGCTCACGAGTCCGCGCAGAGCCCCAATACTCTCACTGCCAAATCCTGTTGCCTCACCTCGTTCCGCGGATCCTCCACTACCTCCGCCTCCGCGCATCATCATGCCACCAAGTAGGTATTGTGGCCAAAGAACTTGTCTCATCTTCTCCCATACTGCTAGGAGATCTCGGGAGAGCGTATCCCAGACAGACTCATCAATTGTATTTTGTGGTGCACGGCGGTCTTCTCCGGGTATGGATGAAGTGAGGTATGAGCTGGATACGGGGTTTCGCGAAGCTCCTCCAGCAGCCGAGGATGACGAAATGTTTCCAGTTAACGGTGTACGGTCAGTCGTCGAGCCCAGCGGATCGTCAGCTTCGATGGCTACATAGCAGCTGTTAGAACTAACATATCAAGAGTTGGCATGGGATAAGCCCCTACCGTCATCAACCAGTTCATGGTCCAACACCGAGTCCTCGTCATGCTCTATGATAAATGGACTTTCTGTCCGAGGTCCTCCGCTGCCGCTGGCCATCTCTGGTAGGAAGGAATTTTAAAATTGATATCGAAATAATTGGCTAGGTATCTATATCGTAGGTGGTTGATGGCCGGTTGTAATATGCTTCAGAGAACGGGCAAGCTGTTGACGTGGCTATTAGGCAGCTCCGTTTTGCGATCGTTTCCCAGGAACGCCGTCTCTGATCCTCTGAAGGAGCCTGCTGCCTATCTGTCTAAGCTCCAAATCCGATGGACGTGGTCAACAAAGTTTAGAATGAAAAAGCTGGTGTTGCCTGCACTCGAGCTGCGGCCGGTTTACTGTCCTGGCTTTGCGATTTGGTTCCTGGAGTTGAGGTCGAGACAAAATGGTCACGTGATTGATATCATGCAGATATCCAGATGCCTGGCGGCTTAACGACATGACATTGATATTAACCTGGTACATGTATAATGATGCATGAATGTAAAAGCAATCGCTCCAAGTGCTGAAAGGGTTGATCAATTTGAAGTATTAAAGAGAATATAATAAATCACAACTAAGAAGGAAATATGAAACAGTAAAGCAATTAAACTATAGGAAGCCCGATATCCAATCCCGAGTGCCTCTCACGTTCAGCTAGCATTGATACTAGCTGGATTCAAGACAGCTACTTATAATGCAATTATGGTCAAAAACATGAAAAAATTTTAAAGGAGCAAAGTCTCACGCCATGCAAACCCCGGTTACCCCTTATCCTTCCCAGCACCCGCCGTTATTAGCACCTTTAACCATCATTATACCCATGGAAACACGATTACTGTCAGATGCAAGTCTCGCCAGAGTTCCAACACCAGATATATCCCCCTGATGCGAGTCTGAACCCGGAAAAACAAATGAAGCGAGAAGAAAAATCGTAAATAGTCCGTATCGTGATAAGCCAACGCCATCACATGGCGTCGACAACAACTAGAGTATCAATGGCATTGTTGACAAGAAGCTGGATTTCCATCCTCCACCGTTGATTCTGCCAGAGATCTTTTGTCCAAAACTCCCAGCTGAACTTCCGGGATCCGCTGGTAACATCAAACTGTAAATCCCAGTCATAGACACGAGCCATTCCGCTAGGAGTGGCCCCTGTAGGATTTCGTTTGTGGCTAGTTCCTGCAGCAGCACCTGTAGCACGAGTGTCTTGGGTAATGACTTCCATGCCCTGCTGGATCCTCCATTCCCGTTGAGCCTGCTCTCCTGCACGCTGGGCAACCGCTTCCTCATCCTCTGTTTGGTAGAGGCCGCATTTGTTGCATTCTGTGCAGGCGGAACCCGGAATTATTCGGAAATGCTCGCAAAAGTGTTTGTAGCCTTCTGTCTCTTCGCCAACCTCGTCATTTTCAAACTCTGCATTTGCTGCACCATCTAGGAGTTGGATGCTCCCTCCGCCATTGTTGTTTCGGCCATTTGATTGTTGTCGACGTTTCGGCCCAAGTGCTTTGCGGCATATATAACACATAGAATAACCGCACACGCAGGTAAGTTTGTTGCATCCTGAAGATTTGACGAACGACAGCCCGCAACATGGACAAGTGCGTTTGATAGCTGCCGTCCGAGCCGCTTCCACTGTCGTTCTTAGAGACTGGAGTAATGGCTCATGGCATGTATGTGGATCGTTCCATGCCTTACGGCAACGCATACAGCTCGCTCGGGAACATTTTGGGTTCCCACATTTGAAACGTGGTGATCGTCTCCTCAGGCAGATATTCTGCAAAGACCTGTGGAAAATGGTCCTTAACGCAGAGGGTGAAATGAGGAGAAGAAGAAGGAGAGGGAGTAGAAAAAATTGAAAAATATCAAGCAGTAAGATGGACACTGCTATACTTGTAGCGAGGCTGGCTTTGCGGAATTGCCAAGTAATCCCTTTCACCGATGGGTGAAAAACGGGATCTACCTCTGCATAAGAGCAGAAAGGGCAGTGAATTAGTTTCAAGTTTGATTTGGCGAGAGATTCAGAGGCAAGACGAGCCTCAAATTTCCGGTATGTTTCCATTCCAGATCTCTCTTTCAAGATTGCTCTCTTGACAAGTTCGGCATCCAGCGTCCCTTGGCAAGTCCCGTTCGCAAACGGCGCTATACACCACAGAGTTGACTTTTCAGGACTGATAGACTTATCCCATCCTTGCCCAAAGAGGGCTTCTTGAAGTGTACGCTGTATGCAGTTAAAGCAAATGACATGGCAGGCCTCAGAGCATGTTGATATCTGTTCAAATGTAACATCCGAGAAGCAACAATCACACTCGTAAAGAGCATCAACCACCTTTGCTTCTGCTTCATTCAGGTCTTCGGCTTTCCTAAAGTCTTCCTCGACCTGTGTCTCTCGTCTGTGATTGACTAGCGGAAGCAAGTATGTAGAATGAATCTCTTCGTCTAACTCCGCACACCCCGTACCTTTCAGAACGGGCTCAGGTTCGTCAGTAGAACTTCTCTGCCAAACCAGGTATGGAGGCGGATCATCCTTATTCGGTGCCTTCTTCTTTTTGAAGGAGAACATGTTCCCTAATGTAACACGCCATGATTTCCGAGATAGGTCCAAAAGAGTTGGCCTCGCACGAATGTACGAGAAGTTTCCTTCTGCAAGGACAGCGTCAATTGTACTTCTGCTCAGAGATCGAAATTCTGCGGCCAGAGCTGCCCTGGCAGCGTCTTTGTATTGATCGCTCCGGAATAGTTCTTCCCTGGGAACTGGTTTGTTCTTAGCCTCAGGGCCACCCTCTGTGGTAGAAAGGGTACCAGTTCCCCCAGAAGCAGGAGAAACATTCCATCGCCCCTTGACCCATTCTGATCGGTATCTTAATAGCTGCTCAACACTAACTTCCAGCCTGCTTTTACCGTCGAACCGTGTAAGCAGCTCTCTGAAAACCTCTGGATGTATGTCAGGGAATATTCTGGCTAGTACATTCAGCGCATCGTTACGTTCTCGTAGCTCACGGTGATTCTCGTCTTCCGTATCGTGCGAACCAGTCAATATATCAGCTGCTGGAGTCGTGGTTGTCGTTGCTGTAGTGGTGTTGGTATTGGACTGCGAACCTGGAGCGAACGGGTCGCTGCGAAGGGCTTCTGCGAGAGTGGACGAGGCCGTAGGGGACAGCTTTACGGTGGTAGCAGTGGCCGGAGAAACTACCTTTATAGATCTCGAGGAGGAGGACGCGGTTGAAGGGGAGGCTGAAGATGATAGCGGTGCTGGCGTTCGTTTATTGTTGCGAGGTGTCTTGTTGCTCAGGAGAGAGAGTACCATGATAGGCGATCTGCTGCCTCATTCCTAGGGAAAAAAGCATCGATAACGAGAATATGGAGGCGGCAGGCGAGACGACGGGTCGACATAAAGATAAGTCTTGCAGGGTGATACGTACGCCTTTATATTGCCTCCCCGAGAGAGTTCAACGTGATGTTGTCTTGAAAGTACTTTTTTTTTTGTTGAAAATCCTGGGTCATCCCTTGGGTCAATGACGCAGTGCTTACCATCAGCCGTATAACTATCGAGATTACGAAAACATCCCCTATCACAGGTATTACATTAGTCGGAGGCAAGGTTGAATAGAATATATCTCCTAAATTTCGAGAGAAAATAAGAGAAAAAGAAACATGGCATAAGATAAAATACACCTAGTCACTGGTCTTCGCCGTGACTTATCATTGATATAAAAAGAGCTTCGTGAAAGAGCAAATATAAAACGCAAGACAGCCTTTCCAACAAGTATAGAGCGATAAAAAGAGCAATAAGTGATGATTAAATCATCTATACTGAGTGCTTTTTAGTAGATGTATTTACAACTTGCCCTTTGGGTTGGAGACGAGCTCAACACCAGCGCCGGCGATAGCAGGCTTGCCAGTCTCAACAACAGTAGTCTGGAAGACAACGACGTTGCCCTCTTTCCACATCTCTGTTCTGAGGGTTTGGCCTGGCAGGACGACGCCAGCGAAGCGGACCTTGAGGTTTTTGAATGCGCCGTACTTCTCGTAGATGTGCTTGCCAGAGATGCCGAGGGAACAAAGGCCGTGGAGGATAGGAGTCTTGAAACCACCCATCTTGCTGAAGTCGGGGTCAAGGTGGAGAGGGTTGCGGTCACCGTTGAGACGGTACAGAGCAGCCTGGTCTTCGCCGGTCTTCTCCTCGACAACGGCATCGGCCTTGCGCTGTGGTGGTTTGTAGGCAGCAGTGGCAGCAGCGGGGCGGGAAGCTGTAGACTTGTTTGAGCCGCCAAATCCACCGCTTCCACGGATAAACATGGTGGACTCGTTGTAGAAGAGATCTTCACCAGTCTTTGCATTCTTGGTGGTGTAACCCATGACAACAATAGCAGCGTTACCTTTGTCGATAACATCGATGAGCTTGGGGTATGTGATGGTCTTAGCCTCTGTTGGGATTGGGTACTTCCTGATCTCTAGGTACTGTTCACCGTGAAGGAGCATCATGGGCGAAAAGTTGGCAACAACGTCACCCAAGTTCCAGGGGACAGCAGTGTTGAACCATGGAATAACACCATAGGTAGGCAGAGCCTGGAACTCGTCATGGTTCTCATACACGAGCGGCAGCTGAGTCCTCTTGGCTCCAACGCTCAGACTGTAAAGAATAATATCCTTATCAGCGTAGTCAAAGGCAGTTCCCTCTGCCTTCATCTCTTTAGCCTTGGAGATGTTGTCCAAGATGGTCTGGTCGCCACCCTTAGGGGCCTCTTCCTTCTTAGATTCACCGACCTTGTTGTTGATGTTGGCCATGATACTCTCAGCACCGGCAAGAGTGTCGTCAGGATGGTCAGCACGGCCATCGTCAAAGTCGATGATCTTAGACCAGGTTTTGGCAACATCCTCAATGGTAAGCTCAGCATCGACAGGGAAACCGTGACCTCCAGATCGTTGCCATCTGGTCTTACCAGTCCATCCACTGCCACACTCATAGAGGCCCTTAGTGGTAGGCTCAGGAAGGAGCTCAGAGCAAAGAAGGACAACTAGAGGAGCAACCTGGTTGGGGCTTAAGGCCTGGACAAGCTCCTCAGGCATGATGGTTCTGGTCATGTCAGTACCGGCGTTGGGGGCAATGGTATTGACACGGATGTTGTACTTAGCACCCTCCAGAGCGAGGGTACGAGAGAGACCAAGAATTCCGAGTTTCTATAATTCATCAACATTGAATCCAAAGAAAATAAGAAAAGAGACCTGTAACACTTACAGCTGATGCGTAGTTGGCTTGGCCAAAGTTTCCGTAGATACCGCTGGTAGAGGTGGTGTTGACAATACGGCCAAACTTCTGTTTCAAGAAGTAGGGCCAGGCAGCCTTGGTGACACTGTAGGTACCTCTGAGGTGGACATTCACAACTGAAGTCCAAAGTTTGTCATCCATGTTGGTGAAGGCTTTATCACGCAAGTTACCAGCGTTGTTGATAACAATATCAATGCGGCCGAAGTTGTCAATAGCAGTCTTAATAATGGCTGGACCATCCTCACAGGAGGCCTTGGACCCGACAGCCTTGCCACCAGCCTTTTTGATTTCCTGGACTACTGGCTCAGGGTCCATAAGGTCGTTGACAACAACAGAGGCACCATACTTAGCAAACATAAGTGCATACGATCGCCCAAGTCTAAAATACTAGTTAGAGTCGATGTTTTGGCAATTGATAACGAGCTATCACTTACCCAGCTCCAGCTCCAGTAACCAAAGCGACCTTTCCAGTGAAGTCTGGCTGCTCAGCAGGAGGGTTAGCTGGTAGCTTCATGGACTCTTGGATCAACTCAACGTAATCAGCAGGGCCGGTTGGGTGAGTTGGCTTGGAGAAGTCATTGACATCCTCCCATCTTTTCAAAAGGGCACCAGGGGTAAAGCTGTCATCAGCCCTCATAAGAGCACCCTTGGAACGCTCCCATCGGATCTTAGCAACGTGACCAGCACCAGCCTCGAATATGCTACCAGTCTCGGTGGTAGAGGAATGGACAAGGTATGCAACGATGGGAACCACAAACTCAGGCTTTAGGTTGGCCAAAAGCTCTGGGGGCATCACAGTTTCCGTCATGCGGCTAGCGGCTACCGATTGTTAGCAAGGCTCTTGTTTTTATCCAGGTAATAGCATATTCAAACTTACCAATTGGTGCAATTGCATTGGAGTGGATGTTATATTTGAGACCCTCCTTTGCAAGAGTTTCGGTAAGACCAACCAGGGCAAGCTTAGCAGCTAGTGATTGGTTAGTACATTAATTCTGTAACAATAGCACTTTCAAAAAGCATACCAGAATAATTGGTCTGACCGAAACTGCCGAACAGACCGGCTGCCGAGGTAGTGTTAATAACTCGGCCAAACTTTTGTTTCCTGAAGTGAGGCCAGGCAGCTCTAGCACACTGTTCAGCTGTGTTAGTGCCACCGTATAGCCACCGCATGCTTGTAACAGCTCTAGAATCATACCTTATATGCTCCAAAGAGATGAATTTTGTCAATCAAATCCCAATCCTGATCCTTCATATTCTTAAAGCTGACATCTCGAAGAATTCCAGCGTTGTTGATCAGGATATCGATGCGGCCAAAGGTCTTGATAGCGGTATCTATGATCTTGTCGCCGAACTCAACACTATCATAGTTGGCAACGGCCTTTCCACCAGCTGCCTTGATCTCCTCGACAACGACATCGGCAGCCTAGATGTGAAAATAAATCAAATTGGGTCAGAACAAGAGCTCGCCCCTCACGGTAAACAAAGCTTAAAGCATCGGAAGGGACAGGACTTGACGTACCTTTGATGACTGGCCCTCTCCAGAATGTGACACACCGAGGTCATTGACAACGACACCAGCGCCCTTGGAAGCAAAGTACAGGGCATATGCCTTTCCTAGGCCGCCGCCAGCGCCGGTCACGACGACGACCTGGTTATCGAAGCGAAGAGACATGATGAATAACGAGGCCGCAGTAATGGGTGTAAGGGGATATGTATCTGGCCTTGTTTGGAGAGTGATAGTATACAGAAGAGGAGGTATTTGGAGACAGAGCAGAAGAGAAACAGGAGGAGAGGAGAGTCGGAGGAGGCGTGGAATAAAAGGAAGCCCGTTGTTGCTGCATCGACGAGCCCCGGCACGAGACTCGCTGGACCTCGGCTGCGGCGTTACACGGAATGACCTTGGCGCGCCGTGTTATTTTTATGCAAGCATAAGTACCTTCAGGTACCGCAGCTTGTGCATCATCAGTGTCACCCCAGCCAATCAGCATTCAGTAAGTATGATGACTTAGCTTCAAGGTCACCTGATGCTGGCTTTGCATGTGAAGTTGATGCTGAAGCCAGGAGAGGCAGCGAGGTGTATGAGTAGGAGAGGATATAAACAACAATTGGGCGGAAGATGCTATGTCAGTACAGCACCGGCGATAGACAATTTGCTTTTTAAGATTGTTTATTTACAGGCTGTCGTGCTGCATTTACTATCCAAGTACGGACAACGAATTCTTCAGTACAAACTATATGGCCACTTTTTTAAGGACTGGTTACACTCAACCGAGTCTCTTCTACAGGCATAGTTTCTTATGCTTCTTATCCAAAGTATAACTAAGCAACATTTGCCTGTATCTCAATAGCCGACCGGGACTCTTAGCACTTCAGGGAATTGATCACGTGATATTTTGCCTCGGCACGTTTGGGCGTCGCCTTATCTGCGTTATCTCCATTTTGACTTTGTTTACCCCATGTTTTTCTCTGGCGGAACAGCTTTGATGAGCTTGAATAACACTCAGAATGAATGCAACTATCGTCGACGATAAGTCAGAGCATTGCATTCCATTTCTGCTTAAGCTATTGGAGGCACATAGGCTGAAGCATGGAAACAACCCCAACGCGCCACCGTTCTTCGTGGGATTGAATGGTATCCAGGGCGCGGGGAAAACGGTCCTAGTCAGATACTCTTCTCTCAACAATTGATATTGGCATCCTTAAACTCTCAATTGCTTCTTCGCTGCATGGAGTCGCCTCGGATAAGTGCTGAATTTTCTAACATTCAAATTTTAGGTCTCTACACTTCGGTCTACCCTCTCTACTACCCCCTATAACCTACCTACAATCACCTTCTCCTTGGACGACATATACCTAACACACAATGACCAACGACATCTTGCAGCTACCTATCCATCCAATCCCCTTCTACAACACCGTGGGCAGCCGTCTACTCACGATATTCCCCTTGGTAGCAAGGTATTTGACTCCCTGCGGCGAAATCAGCTCACCAAAATACCTTCGTACGACAAATCCGCCTTTAATGGCCAGGGGGATCGTGCACCAGAAGATACGTGGGAAATAGTAAATGATACTCATAATGGACAGCCATTGATCAAGGTTGTTATATTTGAAGGATGGTGTGTTGGTTTCCGCTCAAGGCCAGAGACTGAAATCCAAGCAGAGTGGGAAGATGCTGTGAGGCGGCGGGAACAGGACGATACCTATAACGGACAGCTTGGCCATGTTAAACTGGAAGATGTTATGACCATTAATGATTCTCTGAAGGAATATGATACGTTTACTAGGTACGTGGTTATCTAAACGGTTATATATTGAAACTAACAATAATATAGCCAGCTTGATGCATTTATACACATGTAGGTGAACCTCCAGGTGCTCTAGTTCTGCACATACTGATGACATGTTCTTAGTGATGCTGAGGATACGCATAATGTATATTACTGGAGACAGCAGCAGGAACAGACATTACTTGCAACTAAGGGAAAGGGGATGACTTCAGATCAGGTCACGAAATTTGTCAATGGATGTAGGGAATAACTAAGCTCAAGAAAAGTATGCTACTCGCTACCGGGCCCCAAACTGACAAGCTTTCAATTACAGATTATCCATCATATGAACTATATACAAACCAGCTCAGAAAGGGTGTGTTTCGGCCCGCGGAGAAAGGCGACGAAGACTGGAAAGGCAGACAGCTTCGGCTCATCGTTGACAAGCAGAGGAGAGTAAAAGAGGTCCTCACTATGTGATCAACTGGACATCTGTAGACATACTTGCATTGATATAGAAGAAACAAATACCCCCAATTGTTTCAAGCCATCTATACTACTCTTAGCTTAAATTATCATCGGCCAGAATCAAGCAGACATGCTAAAATGGAACGCCAAACGAAACATGAAATAAGCCATATTACACAACTGGATATACCTTTGATATGATGGCAGGGGATATCGAAGGATGGAAACAATGCCATTCACGCCTTAAAGAGAAAAGAACAGAAATGAAATAAGATGCTAGTACTGAAGAGTAGTCGTAGGGCTGGTGTCCAAGCAAGAGCTGATAATATAACTGATATCCATTCAGTCCATCTTCTTATCAGCATGAGATGACGGGCCATTATTGAACGCACTTCTACGCATTGCGGGAGTCTCGGAGCGAGAGCTTGATGTTCCCTGGGCCTCGCTGGGTCTGTCCGTGAAAAGAGTAGAGGGAGAGTGAGAAGGCTTATTAGACTCAGGCGCATCATTTAGTTCTATAAAATCACTGGACGTCCCGGCAAGGCCGATATTTGCCAGTCGTTGGCTGAGAGGCTGCTGCTGCTGTTGTATCTCGTTTATCCCTGCCTTTGCTCGAGTAGCAACTTTTCGAAACCAACCTTCGATTGCCCCACCGACATTCTCTAGACCTGCCGTAGATGAGGATGAGAATACAGCGGAATCAGATGAGTCGAGCGATGCACGATCGAGATTTTGCAAAGAGGAAAACATTGGTGCTGTATCATTGGGCGCAGGCTTGATAGTCAATGTAGGCAGATGCGAGTTGACGAAAGTAGTAAACTTGTCTATCGGAGGACCTGGGCAAGTGGCGTTTTCTAGCGTCCCAACACCTCCTGGGCCGGATAAAGTGATGCTGCGCTGCCTTCTGTGTTGCATAGAGCCTGAATAGCGTGGTGATCTGGTGGCGGCCATCGAGACATCACGACTTATATCTGATATTCTTCTCGAATCACGTTGCTTACGAGAAGGGGATTGCAAGCCAGGTAAATCATGTGTGGAAGACGACGGTCCGGGATTATCTTTATAAGAGCTTAAACGCAATTGGGATTTCCTGCGGGCCCGAGGGAAGAATCCCAAAGATCGCCTTGGAAGTCGACCAATCTCAACAGGTGATGAGAAACCGTCTAGCTTTACCCAACTGTGGTGCGTCCAAGGAGTGCCACTAGTCGATTCGTCGTCTGTCTTAAATATGTCGAAGTCTGGCTGAGAGTCTCCATACCCAAAATCACAGGAGCTGGAGGCATTTGAATCAGGAACAAGCGAGCTCGTATCATGATCTGGATCGTCTTCTTTGGAACTATCATTCTGTTTCCGGACTTCTTCTTCGGGTATTGGGAGGCCCTTGAGCGTACACGACTCGACAGGTAGAACAATGCTCTTCCTAGACTGAATGCTGTCACTAGGCCAGAAGCCGTTCGACTTTCTCAGCACTGCCAGCTCGCAACCATAACGAATCGACACTCCAGTAAGCGTATCACTCGACTGGACAGGATGGATATATACCAACGAATCCCCTTCTTCCTGTGCTGGCGTCGAAGTTCCGGTCGACCTCTCAAATCCATCACCCGAGTCTCTCCGTTTATAATTCCCCCGGCTATCGGGAAAACTGTCCCCATTGGCCTGCAATAGAGCTTCCCGCTTTTTAGCTTGTATGAGTTCCTGTCTCTCCCTCTGGGCATCTGGATTAGCCTCTCCAATGATCGAACGCGGCGGTCCCCAGGACGTAGGTCCAGGCCGTCTATTTCTCGCCAGGTCTCCTCCAACAGATCTCGACCTTGGTCCGAACGGCTTTACAGGCTCGCCGTTAATCAAGGCGCTTCCGGACCCGATAATATTCGACGCAAGACCCTGCAACGATGACCAAGGGGACTCCAGAAAGTCGGTAGCAAACCCATTCGATTTTCCGGGCCCTCTTGTGTCTTCTCGCATCATACCACCGAAGCCAGCCCCACGACCTCTCACGGTACTTGGGCTCCGGCCATCATGTAAACCCGCTCCACCACCTCCCGTGCGAGGAAGTCGTTTGCTCGGTATTGGAGATACCCCTCTCGAGGAGTAAGGAGAAGACCTAGAAGTTCCGCCATTTGTGTGCAGTGAATGTTGTGATGTATTACCCGAAAAGCCAGCTGGCTGTCCATCGTCATCGGTACCATCGAACGAAGGTATTATTCGTCGAGTACGGGAGCGAACGGTCGAAGTAGCGGAGCCAGAGCCATATCCATGCGCCGAAATCGAGGTCCAGGAGTTCGAAGCATCGAGGAGATTGGTGTCGTTGCTCATTCCTGATCACACAGCGCTAACCGGTATGCAGGACAGTCATGTAGGTTAAGCTGTTGAGCAAGCTAAGTTGTAAAGTAGCAGCTCTCTCGCTCTGTGTCTCTCTGTATTCCTCGTAGTATGCTTGTTAATGGCTTTCGGCGGGCGTACGATTGTTTCAAGGCTTTCTGGACATGGGGAATAAAGCCGTCCCAGTTCGGATAATACGCGATCGATCGTCTTGCTAGCGGGATGAAAACAGGAGTGGTGAGAATGTAAGCTCCCCTACGACCCTCTGGCACCGTATAGAGCGTGATATACGTTGAAATTCGACGCAGGGTTCGTCATTTAGTTGGCTGTCGGCGGGAGGCTGCTGCTCATTTCTGGCCAAGGCGTACGGAGGGACGGGGACACCTATCTAGATAGCGAGACACCAGCGATGCGAGGTAAGCTTCCCGGAGCAGGGGAGTCAATCGGCCTCAGGAGAGGTAAGCAAGATCGACGGCAAGGGCCCAGCTATCTTCACAAGCTGTCCTCGGCTGCTGCAGGTAGGCGTTTGTTTGTTTGATGCTGGCTTTTGCTTGTTCGTTGTTCGTCGTTGTCGTCGTTGTTCTCCTTTGCTGTCGTATTTTGGCCACCAGCTCGGCGTTTGCGCAGGCCGTCATCACATGACTCGCCCTCGATCTACAGGGGGATACAGAAAGGAGAAACGATACGAGAAGATTTTCATTGACTTGATTACAGGTTGACCAGACGAGTTACTCGCAATTACAGACGGTCAATGGTAGAGCAGACGCTCAGTCAAAACACAGCTTGTCAGCAGTTAACTAGTTACAACCTCACAGGGGTTAAATAGCCAAACTTGACGGTTAGTCCTTTAGTTCAAAGCTCTGCCGCCCAAAAGTTCATAAAGCGCCTCAGGATGGATATATTTAATCGAAGACAGAAGAAAAAGCTAGCTCACCCCTTTCCCATTTGAATATGCTCCAGAGAGTAAAAGAGAGAGACACGGTATACAGCAGGGCAAGGAAAAGGGTATCTCCTTGTATATCAACGACGGGAGGAAATTTACAGATTTTCAACAGATAGATCAGGAAGGCCGTTGATACCGAAGAACTGGAACCTGGATAGTGTCAGTACCGTGTTAAGAACCATGTTACTAGATATTGACAAGGATACATACCAGTCTTCGACGTTCAGAGTGGGCGGTATCGGCCCCTGTTGTCGAGAAGAATTGCTCCAGTTGTCATCCTGGCTGGATGCATCCATGGGGACATTCGGGTCGAACGTCTGCATAGGCCATTGTCCCTGCATCGGTACTCCCTGGCCCATCTGGTGCTGTGGCGACATACGGCCCAAACCAGCCATGAGAGTCGGACTCTGCGCAGCCCGTGGTGAAAGATGCGTTTGATTCGGCATACCCATGGGCATAGCCGTGTTGTTTAAACTAGGCATTTGAAGCTGTGGGTCGACATTTGTGGAGGAAGGCGAGAAGCCGGGGAAAGACATGTTGGTGCCGTCTGGGAAAAGTTGATCGGGCTGGAAGTTCTCCCATAGAGATTGAGAAATGCTGGGTGAGTTGCGAGTGACGAGGAATAGATCTGGTGGAGATTGTGGAATTGATAGAGCTGGGTTGAAGGGGGAAGTTGGGCGGGTGTTTCCCGTTCCTGTGCCGGTGGCACCATTGCCGGTTCCGACGAAGGTATTATCTGTTGGCATGCGTTGATGCTGTTGGTGCTGCTGTGTATTTCCGGCCGCAGGTCCAGACAGGTTTCCTGGTAATTGGCTTGGAGTGATTGACGGCGTTGCAGCTGGAGTCTGTGGCCTCGACCGTTCATATGACACCTGAGCTGCAGGAGGCCCGTTGGGCATAGTTATATCCATTTCGTCGAACTTCCTCTTGGGTGGATCAGGCCGCTTCAGCGCCTCCAGTGGTTGTGGTTGTTGTTGCTGCTGCTGCTGCTGTGGCTGTGGCTGTTGCTGCTGTCGTCTTGCCTTCTGATGGCGTTTACCAGCAGCTTTCTGTAGCCTTTCTTCAAGGGCTTTGTTGCCCAGGATGGATTCGAATAATGTATGTACCATTTTAGCAACGAGCCATACTTTCGAAACATCCTTTAGCGCCGACATGCATATGTTGATCCTCTCCTGGCTTGTGGCAACTATACTGGGCACAGATGACCGCATTTGATATACATGCATAATCAAGGCAGAGAACAAACTATAAACACTGATGACGGAAGTCATATTAGTCGATGCCGTTTATTGATCTGTAAATACATGGCACTACTCACATGAAAGCAGGAGCAAAGCGAATCTGTTGATGTTTTTGTAGGCTCTCGGTAATTGATGTAATCATGGCCGCGGCTTGGAATGCAATTGTGCGGGAAGGATATGATATTCCATCGTTTCCCGCGTTCTGACCAGCAGTTGCAGGAGGCATATGGGCTCGATGGAGTAGACATAAGGTGGTACTAGGCACATGTCAGTATAGATTCTGCTTCAACAATGCTAAGTAAAGGCTTACTAGTAGTTTGAGTGTAGCAGGGCAGACCAGAAGTGATGTCGTGATCGCTCCCAGTATACTTCCTTGGGACAGTTCTGCAGCCAGTCGGCCAACGCCATATCGCTGTGTGTCAAGTCAATGGCATTGGTGCGTCTTGACTTGGAAGCCACTGAATACTGCTGTGAGAGAACCAGGCCCATGATTTCGCATAGCTTGACGTATTGGAGGAAAAATTGAACATGAGTGGAATCAGGTGGGTAGTCTGCTGGCCCATCTGCATCATCTTCAATGAAATCATCCTCCGTAAGCATTTCAACGTCCGAGTCATCTGTGTTGATGTTTACTGGACGTCCCAGCGCAACTGCAACAGATCGGTCTCGGGTGAACAGCGTCCACCATACACGTTTCCATAGACGTTTGTCTGGCCGACTTAGCTGGGATGTTTCCACGCTAGAAGACATTAGCATTTTAGAAGCCAACGTACAGATAGGCGGAGGCGAATTACCTTCTATGCATTCCAGAACCCTGGGCGATGATGATTGCAACCCTTGTCCAGAAGAAAACATTCTTCGTTACATCTAATAATCCTGTTAGCATCCGATATAATATAACTTCAGTAAAGGAACAGATACGCACCCTCGGGGCCTTCCCAATACCAGCCCATTAACAACAAAGCCTGGACGATGGTAACTCTATCATCTTCATAGTTAGCATCATACAGCGCTTTTGCACGCTTATAAAAGGTCATGGCGGCCGGTGTGGTGGATCCATTCGCATCCATCAGCTGCGGATTAGTGCACACCCTCGAGCCAGCTAATAAAATCGCCTGCAAGAGCAACAGAGAAGGTGGATTCTTGGGATCCCGGTACTGTCTCATGAATCTGCTTCTGTTGATTAGCGGTACGACCGGAGCAACCCATTTGAAGTAAGCGTCTACAAGCTCGTCACACAGAGCACGAGGAGGGAGTAAGAAGGCACCACGTTGGTTGAGGATGTCTATCTCGAAGTTATCGAGTTCGGTGAGGCGAGAGCGCGAGCCACGCAGGCCTTCCGGTAGCGGGTAGTGGACGACATCTGTGGTGCCATGGCGGTCTTGGACGAGCAAGGTGAGGTTTGACGATTCGCCTAGGTATGCGACACGGCCAGCCTCTGTGATGGGAGCGCGGGCAAACTTGGGTTTCATGAACTGGGCGTAGGATGTATTGTGTGTTGCCTGCTGTGCTTGCTGGGCTTCCGTGAAAGTTGTGACCGGCATGCCATCTGCAGGCTTCACTTTGCTTTCGGCCTTTTCATCTTTTGAGTCGTCCTCGTTGCCTTGCTCACGGCGTTCCCTGTGTCTGGCGTGTTAGAAGGGGGAAAACCCAACAGCAGGACAAAAGGGAACCAGAAACGTACTCGCTTCCATCCTTGGACTTGGCCTGGTTCTTCTTCCGCCTTGGAGAAGGGATCTTGCATTCGATCGAGAAGGCGACGCAGTTGGTGCATGGTACACCAAGGCTAGCTGCATCGCATCGAACCTGCAGGCTCTCTCGTCAGCACATCAGTCGCCAACCAACACCGGCGAACCCCCTCCAACCAGACAAAAGAACTAACCTTTCGAGCGTGGCATGTCTACCCAGATGGCATCATGTTAGCACTTGAACCGTTCTGCATTATTGAAGATAAGATAGCACCGCCCAACGCAAGCCGAGATGCCTCGGCTCAAGGGGAAGAAACGCGAACTCTCCACCAAACAAACTGAGAGGACCAAACGTCCGGAACATACCTCGCAGGCCCGCGATGCGCGTTGTCTAGAAGAGATACCGAGACGCAGTTAGCAAATAACAGTCGACCCGTAGAGCTTAAATAGAGCCGTCTCGTTTCTCAGGGGCAAAAACGAGCAGAGCACTCACCTTCTAAAACTCATCTGGTTGCCTGAACTCGTCGTCGTCTGCTTGCTTCCGCTTCCACCATCCTCTCCGCCGTCTCCGCGTGGGCTGGTGCCCGAAGTGGCGCTTTTTGCCTTTCCCGCGAGCGACTCACGCTGTTGTAGCTGTGCTGGTTGCTGCTGTTGCTGTTGTTGCTGCAGTTGTTGCTGCTGCTGATGCACCTCCGAGTCAGCCATGGTTTTCTGGCCTATATCTATCTCTGGATCGGCTGTTGCGCTGCTCATCGTCGACCGCAATTCGAGTGAGAAGGCGATCCTTCCATGGAACAGCCCAGGTAGCAGAAAGTCGAGGATGAAGAAGAGCGAGAACCAAGAGGAGGCTGCGGAACGCTGGAACGGTGGCACAGGACTTCAAGGATGCAGCAAGCTATAGTTCCCTTCTCTTTAACGGCACGAAGCGAGGGTGTAATGGCGCTTTCCTGGCTGACCAACGATATAGGGCGACAGTTTGTCTTCTTGCGCCCTCCTTTGCGTCCTTTGAAGAGGTCGAGAGATGGTTGATCGGTTTGCGCAGGGGGGTGGGATTTGATGGTGCCGTCTGTGTGTACGCCTGCCTGGGAGGACGGTATTCGGTCAATTTAGTCGGCCGGGATTTGCGATTACGAGTTCCAGGGGAGTTCTAGGAGAAGAGGATGAGAAGAACGATGAGCAATTCGAGCTTAACGGCGAGCAGGGAGACGGCCACTTTGTAGCGTTAGCTGAGTCTAGTGACGGAGGGAGTTGGGGTGCGAGACAGAACAAGGGACGGAGGCGGCGCGGCTGGTTCGGTTTCGTGGCGATTGAGCGCTGACCTACGGGCGCCCGTCTACTGGAGATTATAATAGGCATAACCATTAAGTAACTAGCTAGTTTACGCAGTGTACTTATAGAGAACGCCTGGCTCGTCGAGTAGCTGGCAACCCGCACCCGGGATTATCCCTTGTCTACCCCAGACTCTTCCCAGCGCTCCGGAGCCTTTTCGTCTCGTCTCGTCTCGTCTCATCTTCTCGTCTGCCTTTTCGTCCCTTTTTCTTGTCTTTTTCTGCTTGTCTTTTTCGCTCTTTCGCGCTCTTCGTTTTCGTTTTTTGCTTCTTTTGCGGCATCACATGGAGCTTAGGTAAGCAGGATAGTCTATAAGTTGACGGCGTTAGCTTAGGTAAGGTCTGCTCTAGAATTCTTTACTGGCCGATACTGCTTGCTATGATGAAACCATGCCTTAGTCAACATGAGTATAACCCTGTCACACGACAGCAAGGCTTAACCTCGGCAACTTTTAGCCTCTCATGATATGCTTCTCCTCCAACTTTCACAGCTCCAGAGATCGATCTAAGCAAAAAGGACATCAAAGCGACAATAAAGTGACATCCAGAGCGGCAGAGGAGCGAAAAACAAGCGTCAAGGGACGGACAACGTCCATACCGGCCTCATTGGCCTCGCTAGCTGCAGTGAAGGCTCGAGGGCTGCCCGACTCCTTTCTCCTTTCGAGCGGTGTTCTGGCGTGACCCTTGCCCGGACCATAGCTGCTGATTCGAAGGTCTCTGGCAGTCAACACAGGATATAGTTCATATATCAAGAGTGTAGGAGTTACAAGCCAGACAATACAATAATGTAAGAAAAGAAGGAGTCAAATTATACATATATTCAATAAAACTTAGGGTACAGTTGAATGAAGCTATCCGCACTTCGTATATAATAACTTTCAAGGTATGTCTATGCAAATCCAAGGACAATGCGTCACAAGCCATATAACCTAATCGAGTTCGGGCAAAGGAACACGTCCGAAGTACTTCGTACAGTTTAATAGATCCCCCATTTGACATTCTGGCCATGGACGTTCCCACGGCACGACATGTCGCCCTTGGCAGCAACCCTGCCGTCTTTGGCAAACTGCTTAATCACATCTGTGATAATATCAACGATGTCCTGTGCGCCAACGTAGAAGGCTATGTTTCCGTCTACTTTAGTTGCTTCCACGCCAAACTTGCAAGTCCCAAAGTCAACAAGCTGGCGCTGGTTCTTGCCGGCAACTGGGGTAGTCCACTCGCCGTTGGTTCCTTCAATGTTCTTGATTATTGTCATGCAATCTGACACTAGTGGGGACCCGCCGTTCGTCTGGTCCTCGAACGTTGAGGCTGCGCAGTTACCCCTAGCCAATGGAGAGCACGGATAGTTTTCCAATGTGGTATCAGGCTCATTGTTCAATCCCAACCATGACTTGAAGGCTGCATCAGGGCTGCAAACAGGCACGCGGATGAAGCCTGGCGTTGTGATATCTTGACTTACGAGCCTTTCGCGGGTCCCAGCATCGCTAGGGTCAGCTACTTTGCCACCGTTTCTGCCTCCATTCTGCTTGTATGTGTTGACAGCTCTAGACTTGAGTTAGTTACTTGCGACAAGATATGGCGAGTTTTTCAAGAAATGATGAACTCACCCCTTGACTATATCATCCAAAGTAACACCCTTGAAAGAGTTTCCATGGTTTAAAAACTCGACCCCAGGCGGTGCTGAGAACTTGTTGTTTCTGTAATATCCGCCGCTACCGCGGGGATAAGGCACATATTCACGTGCGTCACCTTTGGGTGAAGCTAGATAGTATAGTCTGTTGTCAACACAGCTAGCTGTGGCATGCATAGTTTCCACAGAGAGGAAAGAGTCGAGCGGATCGATTGTACCGCATGGATAGCCGGAGTCAATGACAAAAGGGAACGTCCCTGCGGCGGCCCAGATGGTAGGGATAGCAAAACCAAAGATAATCCTCGCAATACCAGCATCATACTTGGGTGCATCGGCTCTAGTATTCAAGACTCTAACATCATCTTGATTATCTTTTCGTCCATCAATGAGCTTGCCGTCGGAGATAATGCCTGTAAGCGTAGCTATTGACGTATCACTGCCGTCGAAAAGGTCGCTGAGAGTGACTGCTGTGATGTTGCCCCAGGCATTGATTGTTTCACCTAGATAGTTGGAGAACTCGTCTTGCTTTGGTGCAGACCACGTACCACTGTGCATACGCCCACCATTTGTCAGCCATACGCATATTTTTAGAGGCACGGTATTAAGGGGGCAACTCACACCTTGGGAGCCTCTAACAAGTCTTTAGCGAGGCTTGTACTCTGTCCAATGAGAAGTAAAGTGGTATCTTTTATATTATCATATCTAGAAGGATTCGCGGCAAAATATGACAAATCCTTCAGCCCTTTTTGATTTTCAAAGTTACTCTTTGATTGCAGTAGTCAAGAGAATTCACGAGGGTGTTAGAACTTACAAGAATTGAAAACGAATCCACCAATGCCCGCAGTCCCGATAGTGAGTAAATCTATCAGGACTAGCAGCCACTTATTGTCAGGAGGCGGTGGCACTGGAGCGAACTTGTTCTCAAAGTCATCAAGAGCGGGGTTGACTAAAGTATTGGTGGCGCGTTGTAGGTTCCTATCGATGTCGCCGTACATCTGTAATGGTGGTTTCGTGCCGGTTAGCTCAATTGCCGATAACTACATATGGGTGTACGCCAAATAGAATCAACAAGAACCTACATTGTGAATCTCCACCAAGGAATTCCATATTAGAAAGGCCGCCGCACCTGTACCTTTCCCGTGGAACGTGTCGCATGGTAAGGTAGAGCCACATGTCATGCTGCCTAATAAGTCACACTGTGCACCTTCCGGCCCATTGATTGTGTCTAATATAGACTTTAGGAACGCTTTCTTGTCGCCTCCAGACCGAGGCTTGTCGTATGTCTTCCATATATCGATCGCGTCCTGCCAGGCATGATTACAGTCCAATAATCCCCACCGCTGTGAGGGCGTTAGATTACGGCGATCCACGGCACCCCTATCATCGCAACCTAGCTCAGTCCAGTTGCCAGTCCGGTTTCCGATCTTGTAAGGGTCCTCTCCAAGCCTGAGGTTCTGCAAGAAGTCGTCCCAACTCCCAATGTTGGCAGGGGGTTCATGATAGGTGTCCAAGTCAATAGCCCAATTGGTAGTACCTCCCATGTTAAATGACTTATATAGAGCCGTCCGTGATTCTCTGATATCAGCACTCATGTAGGCTACCCATTGGGTATTGTCGTACACAAGAACATTGCTATTGCTTGCTCCATCAACGTAGTGCTGATTGATTCGGCTTGGATCCTTAAGGATTTCTTCAATCTCTGCATTAGCAATATACCCAGCGGTGCGAGTGCATACACCTTCTGCTGCGTTCGAAGACTGGGGGCCACCAGTATACAAACAATCCGGGGTATGACAACCAGCTTCAGCCATTGCAAAAGATCGCCCGTAGCTTGTCACACCAACGACAACTTTATCCGAGGGGACACCGGCCTTTGTGATCTGCAATAGGTTTATTAGCTTAGTCTCATAAGTAGGACTAATTGAATATATAAACCACTAACCATGGACAGAGCGCTAATGGTTTCAGTTAAGTTAACGTGGCTACGGAGACACATTCCTGATGGGCATCCAGGCTGTGCAAACGTGCTCCCTGAGTCCCACTGGATAATAAAGTCAGTTTCAAACACGTTTCTAAGCAAAAAGAATTTGGTAGACTCACTTGGCCGTGCAGGTCATAGGTCATATAAACAATATAATCCACGATTTTCCCAATCTGGTTAATGGGAAAGCCCTTTAAATACCAGTACGAGGCAGGAGCCGCAATTGAAACTGATTTGCCCTGTAGCAGATTTTTTAGAACGACGAGGAAGGCCAAATAGTTTTCACCTTCGTCCTTAGAGCCAGGAGGGATACCGGGAATGTCAGGTGCCTGGACGGAATATGTTAGCAGAGGGAAGACTTATGTTTCTAGCAAAGGCTCAACTCACTGAAGGATACTCCCAGTCAATATCAACTCCATCAAGGCCATGCTTCTTTATAAAGTTAGCAATGTTGGTAGCCAATTTAAGTCTATTGGCACGTGTGACACCCTGACGAAAAATTGTATAAGTCTCTGGGCTATTAGAGAAAGTCCAGCCACCAAATGATAATATTCTCTTCGGTCCTTTGATAAATTTGAAGTTATTAAACTCATAGGTAGTCAGAGTATCTCCAGTGTTGATCTCGTAGTCAGGTGTAATCGAGCCGAAAGCAAAGTGCAGATGTGTGTATCGTGAGGCATCAATTTGGAGGGCATCTTGGTAGAGACAATCACGACTCGAGAAGCTATAACCCTCAAAATAACCGAGTTTAATAGGTGACTCACGCGCGCTGCCACGGATGATCGAGACACCGCAGTTTGATATACAGCCATTGGTACCAGGTTTGGCAGTCCCCGGTGCACCTGTGCCCGTATTGATGCAAAACTCTTTGGTAATGCCACACTAGAGTCATATATTAGGAAAGACTGTGTTAAGCTTATTCGGGAGAAGTGGACGAGACTTACCTGTCCCCAGACATTACAGCATGCATTTAATGGGCAAGGGTTGAGGCTGGCGATGTCGCTATCGTCTGTTGGCGCCTTGGTTCCTGGCACCTGTGGACCGCATACAGCATTGGCCATCGGTGCTGGAAATGGCGGCCTTCCTGCACTTAGACAAGCAATCGTGCCAGCCCAAACGTTAGAGCATCCATTCCATGCCCAAGTTTTCTTATTAAAATTTTCCAGATCGTCATTTGTAAGACCATTCGCAGCTGCAACGCTTGAGCAGCTATCACCAGCCTCGAATGTATGCGTATAGCATGATCCATCTGGATTCGGCTTGGGTTTAAAATCGGGAAGGGTTCCAGATGAGCAACAAATATGCTGAAGCGGCCTCAGAGTTGAACAGAAGTTAGAAGCAGAATTGTATTTTATTATGTCAGCATCGGCAATGCCACATTTCTTGGCTAAAGAGCCGCAACTATCGCCCGCTTGGACTTGGATCGTCCGGCAGTCGGCTCGGGCCGATAGACGCTCGCTTCTGGCGCTTCTGGTGGAAGTGGACATAGTGGCGTTAGTACCACACAGAGTTGAGTTTGTTTTAGCGCCTAGCGGAGGGGTGATGAAATAGGCTGGGCCAGTAACATTCTTGGAATTGGTAAAGGAGAGACAGTCTGCCTTGGTCCAAGTCCTGAGTGCACTTTGTATATGGCTGAAGGATCCATTGCTGGTGGCTATGAAACCAAAGATATGATCAGCGTCATAACCTGGCTGGCACAGTTGCATGCCAATACTCGACGCCTTAACCCCTGGATCCAATACAAAGGCTTCCAAGGTCTTCAGAGTAAACGAGCCAACTCCTCTATTTTGCAAGCCTTTGCCAATATAAATACCAACAGCGGCTTGGCTTGAGTAACCAAAGAGCAGCACTGTTGTGTTTGTAACTCCGTGTCCGTTTTCCAAATACTGGCGCAACTGCATAGACAGTGAATAGATACCGGAGGAAGCAAGCCTGCCACCTTCAGACAACCATCCTATTTCATAAGACTGTTCTTCGCGAACGGACTGCGTTTCAGCTGTCACCGATTTTGGTAGGTTTGCCCAATCAGAGCCATATGATGTGCAGGCATAAATGCGATGGAAGGTGTTTGCGTCGTCAACTTCGTCGTGCAGGTTAAAATGGTAAAACTGAGTCTCCTGGCAGGATTGGAGCTGGTTGAGGTTATGATAGACCGACCAGTTGGAAGGGTTTGGTCCTGAGATACTGCAACGAGCCGGGCATGCGTCTCTCCCGGCATAGCCCGGGCTGGCTGATTGTCGATCTGCCTGCCCACTGACCACGTTGGCGAGCAGCCAGAGGCTCAATGCCCCAGGAGCTGCGCCAAACATCGGTGCTTCAACGATAGTAATGCGGAAGGAATGAGGATTAACGAGTGTAACGTGAAGTTTGATAATAAGAGTGCAAAATGGAATGCCGTATGCCTCTGGACGCTGCTTTTATATTTCCCTTAACCATCAACCTCATATCTCTTGCGCTCCTGACTTTGAAAGACCACCCTTGAGAATATCCAATGACCCGGGGGTTTGGACCGGGGCACAGTCCATGCATCTACTTTGCACCTACATCTGGGTATAGACGGGGCAAGAGCTCTGCTCAGCCCATTTGTTGACGCCTGGTAATTTAAGTCAGAGGTTACAATACTGCTTTATTGACACTGAGACATTGATATGCTGGGGCCTATCAGCTTCGAGAGCCGAATTTACTCCGGGTTTTTAACCCCCCTGCATATTTTTGGCGAAGCTCATGCTTCTGAAGTTTAATTCAGCTAACCCTTTATAGCTCTGTGCATTGTAGGAGACCCCAGAGCCTAACAGCCTATTGGAAAGGGGGGTATTTTCAAGGGTATCTTGTATGGTGTACTCCGTGCCTGCCGAGTTACCCGTGCACGAAGCCCATATTGCTCCATCATGTGCGCGAAGCAGCGGGCTATTAACTGGTGACACCGAACCCCTGTTAATTCTGCAGGCCCTGAGTTATTTATTTTGAACAAGGGAAACTAACTAACCTGATCGAGAAATACGCCGTAGTTAATGATAATAAATACAATATATCGGAAATCACGCCAAATAGATGAGCCAACCAAGAGTTGCTGCCAACAATCCTGTCCCTGAAAACTGCACCGCACGGTGTGCCAAGTTCCCCGTTTCAACGCCAGGCGGGCAGGCCACAGTGGGAGTCACGGCTGATAGACATGCACTGGATTGAATGGCGTATGAAATACTTGATGCCGCACTAGAGTCTACCTTGGCTCCACAGGGATTTGGAGTTGGCGTTACGGTCGAAAGCAATGGGCACGCTGTCTGAGTGCCCCAATAGCTGTCCGACCAGGGGACATCCAGTATCTCCGTGATATTCATGGTATCGGCCTGTGACTCAGCGCACGCGCCATCTCGTGTTGCAGCAACGAGATCTGGCTGTTTAGCTCCGTGCTTGGTAGTAAACCAAACCGCATGGCCCTTGACACTGCTCCCGAGGTGCAAAGGTTTTTGCGGGCCCGGGTATTCTGGGTCCGCGTCCGTGTGTTGGGAGCAGTTAAGTGCACGCCATGACCAGGAAAACAGCCATGTGCCCTCCGTATTGTTAAGCCTAGTAGTCCAGTCATATTCGAAGTGAGTACTGCTGCCAGTGTAGTTGGCATACTTGATATCGCGGATGCCATTTACGAGGCCTGGTGGGACTTCGGGGTCTTGTTGGAGAGTGTATTCAAATTCCAGTAAGAGCAGCTTTGCAGCGCGAAAATTCTGAATAGCAAAGACCATTGGCATAAGGGAGGAAGGGGCGTAGGTCTCATTGCGCGGAAAGATCAGGTCCACTTCCACGGTCTGCGGAGATGTAGGGGTTGGTGTGTCCACGGCCCAACTGCAGGCTAACAGAAGCAGCCAGCCGACAAAATGGAATCCACGGTAGAAATCAGCCATTTTCGTTTGACAGCTAATGATGGTAGTGAGATGACCTAAAGGACAATTAAGAAGAGAGAACTAGGAGAGAGAGAGAAAATACTCTGCACCGACATGGGTTCTTATATTAGTGGCAGGTGGTTAAACCTTTCGGTGACGCCGCTTCTTCCGTAGCTGGGGGCCACTCCTGTTGCTATGTGAGAGTGGACGAATAGAAGATAGCTTTTAAATGTTGGTTTGTGGCAGGGAGTGGCTAGAAATGGATAATAGGGGGATTTTGTGCAGTTGTTAGTTAATGGACTGCCAACAGATTGTCATGGGCAAGGCGCGTGTGCCCCTGTCGTTGCGCTGCAATCGACGAATAGGAGATATCTTGTAACTAACTAATGTTGGTGAAAAAGGAGGCAGTGTACCTAGGAGCCAGCCCCTGGCTGAGGGCTTGTACCTGGATGTTGCGTTGTAACAAGCTAGCTAGCCAGTCAACCAGTTAGTTGAATGTAACATCGCATGCATGCCCTGCATCAACTCGCCTTTTTAGCTATCGCCCACTCGTTACTGGGTGAATGTTGTTGGTTTAAGCGAACTTGCGTTTGAGTCAATCGGTTAGGCCCGTCGCCTTGGCGTTCAGGACCCAACCGGCTGGTTCAGACTCAGCTTTGACTATCACGTCTTCATCCCGGCCAAACACCTCGCATGTACGGAGTAAATAGTTATTTATTCCATATATATAAATATATAACAGTACAGTGTCAAAAGGGCCCTTCGGGGTTACATTGGAGTAGCAGGCCCTGTAGTTAACTAAATGAACTGTTATATCACGCTTGGGTGGTTATAATCGGCACCTCAACTTGCCATCGAATACATGCAAATATATAACTATAGTACCAACGCTGTAGAATTGAGATTTCAAAATCAGCAGTTTTTTCTCTTTCAATTTGCCAGTGAAACATATCAAGCCCCTCAGAGAATGCATCTCACCCCCATAGTTGCGTTGGCAATGCTCCCGGAGCTGTTGCTCGCTCGAGTGCTCCATCCCCGTGCTGTGATATGTAGCTTTGCTATTCCTGGTGACCCTGGGGATACATGCGATACATTATCTGATCGTTGGGGCATCACCATTGATATCTTTAAGTCGCTGAATCCTGGCGTCAACTGTCCCAATTTGGTGGCTAATATGGAGTATTGCGTCGCTGGCACCGTCTCCCCAGATACCCCTAGTACTACGACTACTGCAAAGCCAACTATGACGCCCACATCGACACCGACAAAAACTACCACCACCAGTACTGCTACTACTACGCGGGCAATGACCACCACAATATCATCTGATGCTCCCTCTCCTACCCAGCCAGGCCTTGCGAAGGATTGTGATAAATTCCATCTAGTCGTATCTGGGGATAATTGTTACTCCATCCAGACGAAGTATGGCATTAGCACGGATCAGTTCAAGGCGTGGAATCCGTACATTAATGCCGGTATGTATCTCCTTGTATTTACTACAAGATGGAACCACATCTGACATATCATCAAAGAGTGCAGTAACCTATGGGCAGACTACTACGTCTGTGTTCATGTTCCTGGCGCCACTATATCTACGTCTATGCCCATGCCTACCCCCAGTGGTCCGCAGCCACAGATGCCTGGAATCGTGAGCAACTGCAGAAAGTTCCATCTAATCCAGGCCGGCGATAACTGCTATACTATCAATCAAGCTGTGGGTATTACACTAGCCCAGTTCCGCTCTTGGAATAAAAATGTTAACGCGGACTGCAGCAACATATGGCTAGGTTACTATGTTTGTATTGGCGTTTAACCAATTTAGTTAACTAGTTAGTTAACGATAACCATAAAATATAACTACCGAGTTGCTTAGTTGCCATACCAAATGACTAAATTCATCAATAGGTCAAACAGGCCGTCACAGGCCCAAAAGTCATATTATTTAGGTGCAGGATTAGCTTAAAGGTACTAAAGTAATTCGTTCGTAGACTAGCTCAGTTGCCATTTATGCTTTCGTACGGGCGGGTCATCAGACAGGGGGAATGGGTGCCCCGGAAGACCCGTTTCCAGACCCGCAGCCTCGAGTTTCCGATGACATGGCACCCTATTAGATAAGGTATGCACTATTTAGTAAATAATAGTTGTATGAAGAAGAAGAGCCAATCTACCGTAGTTAATTCCGCGGTCAGGTCACAGACTCCAAAGCAATAACGTACATTTAACTAGTTCGTAGCTACTGCAATGTATATTGGATGGACGAAACAACTGACCAACTTCTAATCTGATCTATATAAGAGTGAAGTATAGTATGTGCAAAATCCACCACAAAATATAGGTACGAATAAAAGGGCGGTGTCCTTTCTATTAGTTTTGCGAAGAAAAGTCTTAGGCTACTCCATTCGTTCCAAACGACACCCAAAATTAACGAAGAAAAGAAGGAATAATAACTTGGGAGTAGAAATCATTAAGGACGAGCGTAAGAATGCAATATGTAGTATAAGTAAAAGCGGGAAATGGACAAAAGAAGAGGAAAATTGGAGAAAGGGTAAGGGGGATCTAGGAAAAGTCTACTGCCTAAGTGGAAACAGTGTCCTTTTCCTCTCCCAGGTCGGATTGAGCCCGATAGCCATCAAACTCAACCCCCGAAATGAACACGCCGCTCAAGGACTCAATGAGAGCCACAAATATGCATAGCGCACTCGATATGCAGAAATGGCTGATCGTAGTGCCAATATCAAGCCAGCTCCCTTCATCACGAACCATAAAGAAGAAATTCATTGTCATCACGTCACTGATGCACATCACGATCATAAACAGAGCTGACGGTGCAACATGCAGTCTGCGGTTGAGAATGCCAAAAGTTGCACTCAGTAAAGCGAAGGGGACGAGGATTTTGAGGATGAGTAAAGCGCCCTGAGAGAAAGGGTTGAAAACGGGAATGAGGCGCGAGACGCTGTCGAGGGAGAAAGAAGATATACTGGCTATGTTACCAGTGCTGAAAAAACCGGATTGAAGAAGGAAGAGGAAGAAAAGGGCAATGCGGGCATCGGAGATGTTAAGAGACCGATATGTGGAAGTGTTAGTATTCGGCGTAACTGATTTGAAGCCTGGAGGCGTAGGTCTAGGGGTATCTTCTCGGGAGAGAGTTGGTTTGGTGGGTATTGAGGGCAGTGTATGCTTGTAGATGCTATATTCAAGTCGGACCCAGCTGACCAGAGTTGCAAAGTACACGACGTAGAAAATTCCTTCGTAAGAGATTGTGAGGACGATGAAGGTGGGTGAGAAGGTGAGGAACAGGAGTATCAGACGGTGGAAGTAGTGTCCTGTTGGGAAGAGCTTGTGTAGTATCGGTAGGATAAAAGATGATACTAGGATATGTTAGATTGGGAATCATAAGAAGCCACGTCGAGGATGACTTACCCATTGCAATCCAACCCGTGACTTGGTTACCAAGAGGTAATCCCGCTCTCTCTTGGAGAGATGCAATGCTGGAGCGAGTAACAATGATAGAAAGAAGTATAAGGCCAATCTAGCACCTAGTAAGTATGCGTGAAACGCAGGTCTCAATTTTATGGAATCATACCTGAGCCCCCATCACAATACGTGACCCGATGTTAAAGGTGTTTCCCGAACGAGTTCCTATTTTCGAGGATGAAAGGATAGATTCCTCGAATATCAAGTAGAGCATCCCAGTGGCAAACATGAGAATACCTCCGCAGGTACTAAATCAGGAAAGTTAGCAACTGGAAGTCATTTTTTCGAAACTGAAAAAAACTTACACTGTATCTGCATCGTCTTGTTTCCCGACAGGTAAGAGGGTAAAGATGCTCATACAGATACAGCTGATGGTCCATGCTGCCGAGAGTAGCTTATTCTTGTTCAAAAAGTCGAATCCGTAGAGAGCGGGCCATACGGAACCAAGCAGATAACAATATGTGTATATCTCTCTGTTAAAATATGATTGAACCTAGGGTCCGTTAATAAACACATGATTCATCGACAGCAGAGTGCACTCACAAGTCCCTGTAAAACCCCGATATATAGACTAGCTTGTAACAGAAACATGGCATATCCTGTGAACGACTTAACGTGGCCTAGGAGTAACTTTCGCCCAGCACCAAGGGCCGCACGGCGAGCAAACACTTCCTCCCAGAAGAAAACTGGGAAAAATGCATATGCATAATACCGCCACGTCGACTGCTGAACCCATAGAAGAGAGTATAGAGCCATGAGCACAGACGAAAAGAACATGAAGCTAGGGACGGATCGGTCAGGTTCCGGAGACGTTGGCAGAACATGCAGGTCTATCACCGTGACCAAGGCATATGCAATCCAGCCTAGGTATCCCGCTGTTACAATGGCGCGGAGGAACAACCAGTCATATGTCTGTAGGTAACGCAACCCTTTCAGTGCATCCTGGAACAGCCTTCTAGATTGAAGGATTGATTCCTCGTATTTGCGGGTCGAGATCAACTTGCGGATGGCAGCTAATTGAGCCTCCGGTGAGCGCTGCGGTTGTGTAAAAGACGAATACCCCTGATAATTGATAGTAGTGGCTTTCTTTTGTTCCTCCTTGACACGATACATTTCAAGGACGGCCTGGGTGTTGGCGAGAGCAGCTTTGGCTTTTTCCTTTGGAGTGGCATCTAAGTAGGAGAGTGGGAGTTCTCCTACAGAGTTGACGGGGAAGTCTAGGCCAACAAGGTAAGCCATTAGAGCAGCCACATCGGCCTGAGCAACGTCATGTCTCTTAATATCGTTTAGGTGCCAATCTGAGGAGAAACCGTCCTCATGTCCAGGTGCAACAGCACCTTTCTTGGACTTCACTGGCTTAGCTACTCCAGAACCCCAGGCAATAAGGGGTGTACGGGTATTATCTGGATGACCGTCACCATGACTGCCCCAGTCACTCATACCGTGGTCGGCAGTAAAGACAAAGGCGGTTTCCTTATCGCCGTAGAAATCCTCTATCAACTCCGTAATCTCGCGAACGCCCTGGTCGACAATCTGGATATTATGTAGGTATTCCTTTGAGTACGGACGGTAGAAGTGCCCGGTCGTATCCAAGCCGAGGAGATGTAAAAAGAACACCACCTTATCGTTTCTGAGCTGTGCATCGAGCCCCTTGTCCTCTTTTGCGGCCGCAAACATTTCCTTCACACGGTCGAATACCCAGATATCCAAAGATGTAGCATCACGAGTGAAATCCTCTGCCTCTTCACTGTACATATCAACAGAGACCCGGCCAGGGACAGCGCCCTCCTTGAACATGGGTAAGATATCAGGACTTCCCCAGCTCCAGGTATGTCTGCTTCGGTTGAAGACGCTGTCAAAATTGACAGGATTCAGCTTCCACCCTGTTGTCACAGCCGAAACATCCTCATATAAGCCTGCAATCAGAGCAACATGGCCCGGTCTTGACTCAGTCGGCACTCGAGTATGCGATACTCCGAAGGTGCCGTGCTCCAAGACGCGTGAACGGAGGAACGGCGCAAGTGGTTTGGGCGTCAAATCGGGTTCTGAACAGGTTATATTGTCCTCGCTGTCCTTCGAGCAGCCGGTCTTTGGAGGGGAAGGGTCCGGGAAGTATTGGAATGCCTTGTCTGCGCGCAGACCGTCACCAACAAACAGGACGAGGCGTTTGGCGGGGGCTTTGGCACTGGGAGCGCGTTCGACGCCATATTCTCGCATGCCACTGACGATTGGACTGACGAAGTAGATGTCGAAGATCGAGTAGGTGTAGATAAGGTGAAAGAGCACCGCCAGGGCTAGAAACAACCCCGTGCGAGACATGGCGGCACAGCTTTTCTTTCTCTCTCCTCTCCAGTAGCAGCTTCTTCGTCAGTGTCGGGCAACGAATGAGTGTGCGGAAGAATGTCGAAGCCTTCGATCGAGCAGGCTATGAAGGCAGAGAGAGGCCGCAGTCCATCACCAGCGCCGAAGGTGGGAGGGCGTAACCAGCACTAAATATTGAGGCTTAAGGGGCGAAGGACAACAAGGTGTTTGCTGCTGTCGCTTTTCTCTGAAAAATAATGTCCTGATCACGGCTTCTGATTGGATGCTGGGCACAAGAGCTCCCCGGCCCGCGCCAAAAAAAAAGTAAAAATAGAAAATTTTCAGTTAAGCTTAAGTCGAGGAACGGATGGAGGACCTTTGGAGGATGGTCTCAGAGGAAGACGAGATGGAAAAGATGAAGAGAACATGAGACGATGAGGAACTGAGGGAAATGGCGGTGTATTGAGCTATATATATGAGGACGAACTAAGAGTCCGTCAGCTTCTTTGTGAGCCTATCTACTACGCGACTATAGAATGTAGCTGCATGCTGCCGCGAAAAAGTGATGTCTACGGAAAGATAGTCGGGGAGTATCTCCAGCAGATCTCGGTCTCTGTTCTCATCCAGCAAGGGAATATAGTGGAACTCCGCTGCTTCCAGGCTGGCAGTTGACCGGTTGTCCATGTTGTGGCTGACACCAAGTTTGAAGTGAAGTGCTATTTCGCAGGTTAGAACGGAGACATAGTAAGATAAAGGAGGGAGAGACATGGGCTAACATACTTCCATTAAGACCGGTTTGTATACAGTCATACAAGTGGTCTGATTCTCTCTTCTTCACGTCTCGGATAATTAAGCCGGTAAGGTCGCTGTACAGGTCTTCCTTGAGCTGGGCCACCTGAGCCGACTCCAAGAGTCCATTGGCAGTATCCCTAGTTACAGCTCCTGGCCTGACAGCAGAGCCTCTTGCTGTAGCTACTTTTTCCGCATTAGTAGCAGCATTCCTAGCAGCTGTAAGTTTTGTTTGTAGCGACTTGGCCTCTGTCTGAGCTTTGTTTAGGCCAGACTTCATTTCTTCGAGCTGTTGTCGCAGCTGAGCCACTTCCTCGTTCCGTGATTCAAGTTGCTTCTGTAAATCTCGGGTTTGTTTTGACGCGCTTGACTGCTTTGACAGTTCACTCTTCAGGGAGTTGATAAGTTGCTTAGATGCTACCGATGTTGCTTGTCAGCTTATCACCATGTACGTCATTGAATGATAAAAGCAGCTTACCTGCGGCGGTCTCCTCATGCTGTTTCCGTATCTTTTCTAGGTTTGAGTTTGCCTCAACTATGCCAATCTCCCGCAAGGCGCGGTATTTCCCTTCCATGCTCTCATACTTCTTGGTCATTTCACCCAGTTTCAGCCTGAGAGCAACCTCGCCATCTCCCGCCTCACGGCCCTTTGTAGGGCTGCCCCATGGTCTTATCCCAGATGGCCTAGATGTCCTGTGCTGGGGCAAGACATTCGTACTTTTCACAGGCGAAGCCCAGTGGACTCCTGATGGCGTGAATCTTTGTGTTTTGCCAGCGGATATACTAGTCCTGGATGTACTCTTCACAGTTTCCGGCGTTATCTCTGCAGGCGGAGAGGGTTCCTTGGCCGCTTGTTTTGCCGTTTGTTTTCCTTTTTGTCCTCTAGCTGCCGCTGACTTGGTATTTGTAGGTGTATACTCGAATTCCCCGTCTCTTACGGTTTCGGTATCGTTTGCTCTCCCTCGTGTTCGAGTTTTCTCTTGACTCTCTTGGTTCTGAACGGTCTCCGGCGAATCGAGCTCGTCCTCTGAAACTCCTTCTCTCCCTAATGTCTCATTTTCTTCCTCAGCACTGTCCGCATCATCAGCTGGCGGCTCTTCAACCACCCTGGCTGTCTTCTTTCGCCCTGCCGCCGTACCACGCTTCTTTGGGCCCACCACCACTTTCGAGCGTGTTTTCCTTGTGGTCTTTGTTGCCGCGGTCGTAGTCTTTGTCGTAGTAGCTTTCGGCCGTCCTTTCTGTCTTTTGGCTGGCGGAGGTTCTATGCTCGCGTTATCATCATCCTCGACGCGACTCAGATCATCGCCCTCTATGTCTCCATTCACCAGCGACGAAAGCTTCGACTCTGCCTTGCGCTTAGGCATTGGACCTTTGTAAGTTGTTTTCTTCGTTTCAACCGCGCTCGAGGTTATAATTCGAGTAAACCGTAGCCCTAGTATTATTTATTTAACAGCGTCCGAACCCCCTTCGAGTGTTTTCGTCTGTTTGGCGTTGTTTGACTTCTGGTGCACGTGATTCTCAGCCACAGAGCGGAACTTCAGGCCTCGGCGCTAAATGGGCGGAAAGAAGCATCGCAAGCCACAAGTTAGTTAGTCATGGCGACGCAGCAGTTATTGTATCAATCACAAGCAAAGACACTAATATATTTGACACTCGAGAAGCTCGTCCGTCTTGGTTTTCAGAAGAAGGTTGCTGGATACTTCGCTGCGCCGCTACGGAAGGTTCTTTTGCACCGGCGAGCACGCTTGACTGTACCGAACAGACAGATCCTCACTGATGGCTTCCAGCGGCCCCCGGCGCTGGCAACAGCTTTTTCAGGAGCTGATTTTGATTGCTGGCACAGTGCGTGCAAACCCTGTTCAGCTAGCCGTTGATGATTATTACCTGCTGACATGTTGGATTTTAACGATAGTCTCTCTCAACATATTTTGTAGTCCGGTTCCTACTATCCAAACTCGAATTCGATCCAGACAGCCAAAAGCGTGAAGAAGCCAAACGCAAGTCTGCCGCGGTACTCAAACGATTAGACCGGGAAGAAGATTCAGATAATGATTCGTCGGGAAGCGAGAAGAAGAACGGCAAGCGACGACAACGAAAGGAGAAGCTTGTCTTGACTCAGTATGAGCAAACAATCGCCATGGACGTTGTTGCACCAGAAGATATCCCTGTGTCATTCGATGACATAGGTGGCCTGGACGAAATCATTGAGGAGCTAAAGGAGTCAGTCATATACCCGCTTACCATGCCACAACTATACAGGACGACTTCTTCTCTACTCAGCGCGCCTTCCGGAGTTCTGCTCTACGGGCCCCCGGGGTGTGGAAAGACCATGCTGGCAAAGGCTCTTGCACATGAAAGCGGAGCATGTTTCATAAACCTACACATCTCAACCTTGACGGAAAAGTGGTACGGAGACTCAAATAAGCTTGTTAACGCTGTGTTCTCACTTGCACGGAAACTAGAACCAAGCATTGTCTTCATTGACGAGATCGATGCCGTCCTGGGAACAAGACGCAGTGGAGAACATGAGGCTAGTGGTATGGTAAAGGCCGAATTCATGACCCACTGGGATGGGTTGACTTCGGCAAACGCCATGGGCCAACCCCAGAGGGTTCTTATACTCGGTGCCACCAACCGGATCCAGGATATTGACGAAGCTATACTACGACGAATGCCTAAGAAATTCCCTGTCACTCTACCACTGGCAGCCCAGAGAAAACGAATTCTTAACATTGTGCTCAAGGATACGAGGTTAGACAAAGACAATTTTGATTTGTCATATCTTGTTAAGGTCATGGATGGAATGTCAGGAAGCGATATCAAAGAAGCATGTAGAGATGCAGCTATGGTCCCCATCAGAGAGCTTATCCGAGAAAAACGAGATGCTGGAGCAATGATACACTCCGTTAATCCCGGAGAGGCACGAGGAGTCAGAACAACCGATTTCTTCAAGAGAGCTGGTGCAGTCAAACCATCAATACACTCAACTACGTCGCTCAGAAAGTCCCTCTCAGAGAAGGACTGGAGCACTGAGTCAGAGCAGGACGAGATGGTCGACGCATCTGCCGTTATCCCAGTAGCAGAGGGGCTGGACTAAGACTTTGATATTATGCATGGAAGTCATGAAAGAAAATTGGATGTATAACCAAGTGTTGTTCAAATGGATATAGGCGTTAACCGTAGATCGGAGGGTTTCTTACACTTATTCTCCCTTTTCCATTCTTTTTGTTAAAATAACTATATATAGCTACAATATACCAAAGTAATAAGTCTCTTCACTCTCAAACTGTCCATCCCATCAAGTATCATATCTGCGTCGCCTGCTTTGCCCCTATCTCTTCATTACCCTAGAACCATTAACTGCCGAAGACGGGGATTACATAATATCTGTGTTTCTGGCTTTAGATGACGCGATCGCTTTTGCTGGAGAAAAGTACGAGGAGTCACGGCCAGCCCTCTTGATATCAAAACCATAAGAGGTCCTTGCCTGGCATATTCCTGGCATATATTGACACCTTACTATTACTACAGCTGCTTGTCTTTTTGGACTTTTGTTTCTTTTACTGTCGTATTTGTTCTCCCTTATAATTGACACCGTGATGTCCGAATCAGGCCCTCCCCCTCCAGGGGCCACTGCTGCTGCTACAGCGGGAAAGGATGGCAGCGCTGTGAAAAAGGCATTCCCGCATGTTGATCTAGCTGGACATGATCTACCGCCGTCGCCTGCTCCGTCAAGCCCAAGGGCGGGCAGGAGATATGCCCTGGCAACTGAATTGGTGTATACCGAGGGCAATGACCAGTTCAATGCCAGCAGCGTACCGATATACCAGGTAAATATCATCACTACGATAACCTCCTACCTTAGTCACGATGGCTATAGTCCTGTTAATATCTACGTTAATTGCGCTTATTCTGCTGCTTTACTGACCTGCTCTACAATACACAGAGTGCGACATTCAAACAGACATCTGGCGGCGGGGGCGGTGAATACGACTACACACGATCAGGGAACCCTACTAGAACACATCTTGAACGCCACTTGGCTAAGATTATGTCGGCACAACGAGCACTCGTCGTATCGTCCGGCATGGCGGCGTTGGATGTGATCACGCGACTCCTCAAGCCTGGGGATGAAGTGGTGACGGGAGATGATCTTTATGGAGGGACCAACCGACTTCTCAAATACTTATCTAACCACGGAGGAATCATTGTACACCACGTCGATACTACCAATCCCGAAAACGTTGAGCAGGTACTCAACTCCAGGACGGCAATGGTCTTGCTTGAGACTCCTACAAACCCATTGATTAAAATCGTTGATATACGCCGAATCTCCACAGTGACCCATGCTAAAAATCCCGGTGCCTTGGTCGCTGTAGATAACACCATGCTTTCTCCACTACTGCTTAACCCGCTAGACCTGGGTGCTGATATTGTCTATGAGAGTGGAACTAAGTACCTCTCTGGTCACCATGACTTGATGGCAGGTGTCATTGCGGTTAACGACCTAACACTTGGAGAAAAACTATACTTCCCCATAAATGCCTCTGGGTGCGGTCTATCACCATTTGACTCGTGGCTTCTCCTTCGTGGTGTCAAGACACTCAAGGTCCGCATGGAACAGCAACAGAGTAATGCCCAGCGAATTGCCGAGTTTCTTGAATCACACGGGTTCCGTGTTCGATATCCGGGCCTGAAATCACACCCTCAATATGACCTCCATCGGACAATGGCTCGAGGAGCTGGTGCTGTTCTCTCGTTCGAGACGGGAGATGTCATGATAAGTGAACGCATCGTCGAAAGTGCGAAGCTATGGGCAATTAGCGTCAGCTTTGGTTGTGTGAACAGTTTAATCAGCATGCCATGCCGTATGAGCCATGCCAGTATCGACGCAAAGACTCGTAAGGAAAGGGCCATGCCTGAAGACCTAATCCGTCTTTGTGTAGGTATTGAAGATGCAGACGACCTAATTGATGATTTGAGAAGAGCTGTAAGTCGTTATCTCCCCTTTTTTTACATCCATCTAAAATTCAATGTACTAACAGATCTGTTGGAATAGCTGGTTCAAGCTGGTGCTGTGAATGTCACATTGGAGGGCTTCCAAAACATCAACCAGAGTTCCACAGCCTAATAATCCGTCTTAATTTTTTTTTTCTTATTTTTTTAACCTCCATCCTTTTTTGATTCCCATCCTGCAGGCGTTCCCGGTAAACTGTGTTATAAAACATATCACGACCATATTACTATGGAATGGCGTCCAACCGCCTTCCAACGGAGGAATGTTGAATGTTAAATGTATAGTCATTTGCAACCTGAAAAATTAACTTGGCAGTTAGATTTGCGGCTAATTTGGATGAATAAGTAGCAGAACACTGCAATCTATGCGAACTATTTTCGGCTGTTTATCTGTGCCCTTTTCAACCTAGCCATGAGGTCAAAGGGTATACCTGAAAAATGGGCTCAAGTCACCCATATCTAACAACTCCTTCTCCGTATACCTAGCTCTGATGTTTTCTTCACCCTGTTCCGCAATCAGCTTATCCCGCTGGCCGTTCACCCTCTTGAATTCCACTCGCAGGAATATAGCTGTTATAATTGCAATTCCACATATCGCCAAAGACACTCCAAAACCTGTCGGATACTTTGGTTTCTCTTTAGCAAGGTATATATTCGACCCAGCTATGCCACCCCAGTTACCAATGGAAATCAGAATAGCCATTCCAACGGCTCGCTTAGATGAGGGCGCAAGATTATTAGCTAGAGGATCAGTTAGTGATACCCGTTGACTGCATCTAGAACCTCTAAGTAAAACATACCAACTAGACATAGTACAGGGGTGAACGCTGAGTACAGTCCAGATGCAACCAGGAACAACATTCCATATGTCAAACCAGGGTATCGAGGATGTGGAATGGCTAGCTGTGCTGCAAATCCCAAAAGGGCAATTGTATTTCCAGCAATGATAAATGGAGTTCTCTGTTCGTAGCGATCGGAGAGGTAAGCGAATACTAGAATCCCTATTGTTGCTACAACATATATGGGTATTGTTAACAGCTGAGCTTGCGCTGCAGTATATCCAAGATCATTGATAACTGTAGGCACCGTTGCAGTGAATCTAGATAGCTCTTAGCTGCCCATTCATCTTTTGTTGGGGCATATACATACCCATACACGCCAATAGTATTCGCCCAGAACATTAGTATAGCGCAGTAGATCTTCCATTCTTTGAAGGCAGCTAGGACATGTCTGGGAGTGATCTTATCATTGTTAGTAACTCGGCCTTGCCCAGAACCCGTCTCGAGAGATAGTCTGTTTATAATGAACTCCTTCTCTTCCTTGGTTAAAAACTTCGCTCTCTCAGGGCTGTCCGGTAGTATAAACCAGATCACAATGGAGAAAGCAACAGGTAAAAGGCCTTCAAGTATGAATATCCTATTTCCATGTTTTAGTCAATTGCCCGTTTCCCACTCAGTAGAACAACAGCTTACCAACGCCATCCCGCAAGATTTGCAATACCGTGCATCTTTTGAATGGCGAACGCAAGGAGGCCTGAAAATGCTCCAGACAAGGAAGCAGAACCGTAAAAGATTGCCATTCGATGCTGAACTTCATAACGCTTGTACCATATTGTCAAAAGATAGGTAGCTGCTGGAAAGAAGCCAGACTGTATAGTTCATCCCAAGTCAGTCATCAATTTCTGTGATTGGTATAGACAATGACCCATGGTACGTAAATACCTCGGCTACACCTAGGAAGAATCTAGCAATAAGCAGACCCTGGTAACTCTGGACTACTCCCAACAATCTAGAACCTGGTGTTAGTTAAGGCTGCTACTATGAAGTCCCTTGGGAATACTTACGTAGTAACGGTGCCCCAGCCCAGCATCATGATAGCAATCCATACTGACGGCCGCAAGATTTTAAGAATTATATTGCTAGGAACTTCAAATAGACCGTACGGAACAAAGAAGAGTGTCAATGCTATATTGTACTGATAGCCTACCAAATGCAAATCCCTCTCCAGACCGGCAATTTTGGCATTTGCAACTAGTTAGCAGGTTAGCATCCCATGTAAAGTGAGTAACTGGATAATTGAGACCTATACGTACTGTTTCCTCTATCGATGAAGGCAAGCAGATAAAGTAAGGTAAGCAGTGGAATGAGTCGATAGTCGACTTTTCTCAATATCCGCTTTGCTTCCTCTGGTGAGTAGGCTTGGACAGACCTACGGACCTCATCCGCTTCATCCCTCTCCACATCATCGGACGTTGGGCTTTTGTCGTTGTCTAATCCGATATTTGGCTCATCAGCCTTCTCGGGTTTGGGCGGTGGAGATATATCTGGATTCATCGGGTCCCGATGATGTGGGTTGGGAGATATTGGCAATTATGGCTTTGGGGTTATGTAATTGCAGAGTATCGTTGAAATTTATCTGGGGTAAATTGATATCCGGACTGGGGCCAGATCATCTAAATAGCGCCTCATCCTGGACGATTATCCTAGTCTAGATATACGAAGTGTCGGTTACATCGAACAGGTTAACCGACAGACACCAATTCGACCGTACTACGAGTAATGCTTCAACTTGAAGTCTCGGCTATTCAATCATATCACTCTCTTTTGAGACTTTAGATGCCCAGTTGATCTGGGGTTCTAGGACCGATAATACATGGCTCCAGGCGTCTAAAAAGGGTGCATTTTTGTGTGAAGAGAATGTATATAACACATATTCCTCGCTAATTTTCGACTAGTTACCCACTAGTTAGTCCACTGATAGATGATATCTTTCTAGTATTATTTGAATCATCATAATATTACTTGGGATATCAGATTCGCCTTACCATGGAAACTGTGTTCAAATGCTAAATTCAAAAGTGTCCAGTTAGTGAGATTTAGGTTAGGGTTCAAGGGCCGCTCGGTTACCATGGTTGCGGTAATCCAGAGTCCAGTGTTATTGATGATTTCATTCATAAGTTCTCCAATAACGGGATACAATGATGGCCTCATTGTCTAAATATCTAATTTGTTCGTTCTATGGGAATCGCTAAATCAGAAACTACTTACCATCACAGGCCGGAAGACAAATCTTTTGAATCAGACGAAAGATAAAATCTTTGATGATGGCACAAGTGATAGACAAGGCGAGAAGCAAGATATGGCAGAGATAATGGATATCTTTTCATGGAACTTGCTCACTGGCACAAGAGAACGTTAAAGAATTAATGAGAGATGCCAGTGCGGTATTGCTAACTCCGAGCCTCGTTAGAAGGCCGAGTTTGCTGCATCCAGGCGTGGAAAAAGAGATAGAGATGGGCCCCTTGGATTCGCCAGTGAGGCTATGATTCGGAGTTTCAACGCAGTTATTACTGGTTAAAATAGACGAATATATCGAACTGGCATATATTCCATTTGCACTATGGACTGCGCGGGCAGTCTTCCCTAGCTCCTTTCAGGTTAGGTTGTCCTCTCATCTCCGGACATCAGGTATTCGGCTGCCGACATTGTTTCGTGTTGAGTGGTGAGCTCATCGTGTACCCTATAATTAATTGTCATGGTCCGGTGTGTTAGACAATGAAAGCATTGTGACCATACCCAGTGGCGGATATCAGTCAAGTCGCAGACTCAGCCATTGGGAGAATTAGGCTCAGCTAGCAACGAGGAGTGCGGGTCTCACTATCTGATAAGGATTAGTTAGTATGAACTACCAGAGCTTTATATCCCCGAATAAGGGGCCAAAGACGGTTGAGATGTAACTAGCATGAACAACTCATCTTCGAGCAACTGACTTGACAAGTTATCAAAGTCACACCGTCTATATTGCTTCTTCTCTCCGAACCGCGGCAACGCGATCCTATCCCTCGCGAGGACAGGAATTGAACTGCTCTATCCGATGATATCACCGACCCGGCTCCCGTTTATTGGTGAGGACGATGATTGTTGCTTTTTCTCTGGCTCTCGATCAACTCGGCTGACAGTCCTGCGAGGGCGACTTGAGAAGACTACTGGCCGGAAAGGTCTCGGTCCCCTGGTTCTACAGGCTAGTTCGGCCTCAAGCTGCCATGAAACCTGCATCTTTTCCCTTCTCCATCTTTATTTGCTTTGCTCTTCTTTCTTTTTTTTTGCCTCTGCCAGCCAATCTCTATGCGCAGGGTCATCCCGGATGAGTCACGTGTTTGTGCTTGAACTCGCCCAAGGACTTTTTGCTTTTAAAAAGGTGCCAGGGATGCCCGAGCAGGCCGGACTGAAAAGGCGCTGGCTGGGGCTTTTTCTCTCTCCTGGCGGACGAACATCTCGAGGACAGCCTGTATGAGACGGTCTTCTTTCGTGTGCTGCCGCGTTGGACGCCTATAAGCTGAGGATTAACTTCACCTTTTTGTTCCCCGATACCCGGAAGTATCTCAGACATTGCCCAGAGAACCCATTGTCTCATGCAGGAATAAGTCCTGGCAGGTTCTTTGACTTCTTCCATTCTCTTATCGAGTGCCCAAACTCGCAGCAGGAACCGCTGTGCTATTCCGGAGATGTCTCGAGAAGGCGTCGAGTCCAAGGCGAGCTCTGTCACTTCGGTTGACGGCCGCCAGGGCTTCCTCGAGCCGCGCCAACTTCACGTGCCAGAGACTGTTCTCGGGGGAGCTCGGAGATGGAATACAGGGGACCTGGGATCAAGACTGGCAGTCGATATGGTTAGCGCTGCGACTGCTGGTGCCCTCATATGTCCGATGATCACCATTATTGACAAGTGAGTCTTGAGTCACCATGCTGTGATGATATATCTAATGTCTTCATATGGAACTGACAACTGGGCCTGGTATTAGATCGATTATTGAGAAAGCAGCAAAGGGGATATCAATTCAATCGAGTTTGGCCTCATCATTGAAGGTCATGATAACAAAACCCCATCGATTCCTCACTTCGACTCCCTTCCTGCTCATTTACACTCTTTACTCATCCACGTACCTCTCCGCCAACCTGATCGACACTGCCGTGTCAACTATGGAAGATAAGGCTTATAACAATGTATCGACCGGATTCATGAAATTCCTAACCACGGCATTGGTGAACATGTCAATATGCGTGTATAAAGACTCCCGGTTTGTTAAGATATTTGGAACCCAAGGACAAGGAAACAAACCGTTATCAGCATCCGCAAAGGGCCTAACTGCTGCTGGTGCTGTGACTCCACAGATCAAAGCAGCGGCCGCGTGCCTACCGCAAAGCGCACCAAAGATTCCAATAACATCATATGGTCTCTTCTGCTTCCGAGATAGTATCACCATCTTTGCTTCCTTCAATCTCCCGCCCATAGTAGCCAGATATGTACCGGATGCAGTTGCATCAAATCAACTGCTCTGATTGAGTCAATTGAAGGCAAGGCTGGAAAGCATCCAGCTAATCAGCACGCCCTTCCACTTGCTAGGACTGGACCTCTATAATCGCCAGCCTCCTGGCGGGCTACCGGCAGCCGACAGATGGGCTCGCGTGAAGAGAGACTGGGTTCCAAGCTGTATTGCCAGAATCGGACGAATTCTGCCAGCCTATGGAGTTGGTGGCGTGGTGAATACAAGAATGAGAGAAAGAATTATGAGCTCTATTGACCCTGGGCAGAGATCTTAAATGCTACTTTCATGCATGAGGTACCGGGTGACCCTGTCGGTCTACTGCATCGTCATTAGCGAGCGCCAGCAGGGGCAAGAAGCGCCAATGCATCTCCAAGCAACAGGCCCCGGATCACCACATACTATTTGCATCAACATATAACGCCAACACTTCCGAGCCATTAGATGCATTTGATCCTACGAAGGACGCTCAATGTGCTCTTTCTTTGCGCTATACCCCTCCTGATTAGTGTTCATTTAGATCAATTTTCTATACCTCAGGGGCAATAAGTGCCTGTCGTTGCCCCCTTCACGACCTTTTCCCCGTCCGTTTACTTGACTTTCTGGCTTGGTTAAATAGACTTGGTTTTTTTTACTTGGGAACTTATGAGCGAATTGATAGACTCACGGCGTTATGTACAGGAGATTCAAGACGCCCACCTAGGTTTCTGTTCTGTTATCCATGGGGTCTAAAGACTAAAAGTTCTAGACCTTCTTGTTTATAATTTATACACTTCGTGAATACAGCATGTTGAATTGTATATACCATCTTATGGGAGTATGTACATTGGTTCCTTGGTTAATACTTGCGGGAAGGATTCGATCAAAGCAAGGGAAATGCCTGGATTAGCTACGTTACATCAATCATTTTGCGCTTTTTGTTATACAATGCGGAATGCAGGTGTGTAAGTAGTGGATACACAAGACGGACATTATTTCAGACAAAGAGGAGTGTGGATAAAATAAGAAAAGATGGTTAATATGCCCTGTATATAGATGGAGCCACTGGCGGGTAACAATGCTTGATCAGAACTTGGCGTACGACAGGCTAAAGGGGACTGTGGGTATAACGGAGGCTAAAGCTATAAGTAGGTCAAGGATGGTGTGTATGTTGCTTAAGCTTTTATTCAGACTTCTCCCGTCGAAGTCGTCGTTCTTCTCTTCGACGTTCTCTCTCTTCTTGCCGCTGTTTTTTCACAGCCTGCGCTGCACGGAAGGCCTCCGAGAATGCTCCTTGAGGTAGAGTTTCCTGAGGAACTGCATTAGGTCCACCGAACATGAGGAAGGCGTTATGGAATGCCCATTGGACCGCTTCTTCAACGGGTTTGTCGAACAGATAAGGTAGGGCTGGGACAACGGAAAGTCCAAGCTGTTACGTCAACAAAAAAGAGGCGAAATGTCAGCGCTGTAAAACCCGGTTTTATCATGCGTTGGCGTGGCCTGACTTACCCCAATTGGTGCCCAAGTTCTGAGAAACACGCTCTTCATGTTCTTCATTGCCCGTCCAGAGTACTTGACAATAGAGTGAATTGTGAATGCAGGTAAGCCCATACTGGCAAGTGACTGGAACACGGCCCTCTCAGCCATGACGGAGCGGTAATCCTCGCTCAGAGGGATCTTTTTAGTAGGCCATGGAATTAGAGTGTCTTCTTCGGGATCTTTCCACGGCATTGGGTGCTTGGGACATGCTGTTGAGGTTAACGTCTCTTCGACGTCCTTAAGTGCAGCTTTGTTCATAAAGTGCTCCTCCAATGCCTTGCGGTCAGCACTGCTTTTCAAATCAACGTCTCCGACAGCAATGGCCTCAGTAGCCTTCCGGAAAGCATCGCTTTTCGGAGCGAGTATCTCCTGGTTTCGTAGGTATGCCTTGTATCCTTCGTTAGCGACATCCCCGAAGATGTATGCCCAGGAGACACCGTAGGCGCCCTTGACCATCCATGGATGTGCCACCGGCCGGAAAGACTCTCCAATGTCCGATGTATATGCGACATAACGGTGTGCAGAAAGAAGCAGCGTCCGAATTCGAGCTGCGTAGGCCGAGTATCGATATCCGGTATCAACAGTATCTACCGAGCTATAGCCAGCCAGATGTGTGCGTGAGTACAGTGGTGTCCCAAGTAGCAATGAGGCAACGGAGGGGCTTAATCCCACCCCTCGGAATAGTTGAAGAGTCAAAGAAGAACACGATTCAAAGGATGGAGTTAGCCTTACTTGCCCTCGTAAAGCTGGTCCAGTATTTCCTCCTCGCGGTCGACGAGCTTCTGCAGCTCAGGGGTCAGTTTGCGGGTGCGAGGCACCGCCGGCTTAGAGTCGCCCGCCACGGCAACATGCTCGTCCTTGGCCATAGCTCGAGCTATTTGGAGCTGTAGATAAGATAGCTATTAATAGTGTAAAACTAGTTTTCGCTTCTCACTCTCAGAACACTGCGGGTGTATCGCGAGAGAAAAGGACTTCGATCAGGCCGTCAACACGAAGGAGGTTCGTTCGCAAACACGGAGCTTTCCAGCGCATCTAGAAGAAGCCCGCCCGGCCAGGCAAAAGCAGCGGCAAGAGCCGGGAACCCCTTACGTCATCCCAGTACTGCTGAGTCATATATTATTAAGCATTGCTTATGTTAGCAGTCACGTGAATGGTTTGCCGATTCGACGTCGAACTTGCAAAACAGCAACAACTTCGACGAAGAAGCAGAAGTTGCTCCGTCCAGCCCAGCTCGCCAGCACCAGCATTGAGATCTCTCGCCGCCACTCTGCGTCGTATTCCAGGGACTACACGCCTTTCTGAAACTCTACCACATTCACAATGGTTGCCACGTACACTATCCTCGGCCGCAAAGTCGGTTCTCACGTCGTACGTTCTCACTCATCTTTCCTAACGCCCCCAATGGTTCCGTCGGATTGAAAGGATCGTCCGATACGGGTCGCCATCTTTATAGCAGCTGTCGATTTATATTGGAAAGTCTGTTACTGATGTGTTTCTGCCTCAATTAGCTTGCCATGACCGTCCTCGGCGGCACTGCCGGCGGCATCTACTTTGCCCTCCCAGGAAAGCAGAGCAAGGCTCAGGCCCCACCAATCAAGGCCAGCAGCAAGGACGAGGAAGCATTCATCCAGTACGTCGAGTGTTTCAATTCTACAATAATTATCTTGGGTATATCGAGATGAATTGGGCATGATGCTAACACTTTCGTTATAGGGAATTCCTTAAGAGCGTCGAGACCGAAGACTCCAAGGCCAAAGCCAAGCACTAAATTTGCCTACCTATAACCCGTACCTGCCGCCCTCTTCCTGGATTCTCCTCTATCACTTCGTCTCTTTTATTCCTCGATGAATCTTTGACCTCGATTTGCCGGCGGAGCGGGAAGACTTGATATATGTAAAATATATGTACAGCTGCGGGTTTTCCCTTTTACATTGACTTTTTCATTGAATGCGCGCGAGAAAAGAGATCCCCGTGATTGTTTAATACGTGCATACGTGTCTGTGTACTAGGTTACCCGCTGAGAATGATAGATATCGTGTCTGCATGAATAGACTTTTTTGGCATGATTCTCATATACTGGATCAACTTCTCTCGCTTTTATGAATCTTCGGAAAAGGGCATTGAATACTTGTTTACAGCCACGGTCATGGTCTGTATGAAAACAATTTCATCACTATATACTAACGTGAAGATAACTAGGTACGCCCAAGTAAAAGATGAACGTATAAAACCACGAAAAGCGACATGAAGGAAAACATCAAGATGCTATATACCATGAAAAAAAGGGGTGGAAAGATGAAAAATAAACCTAACAAAAGCTATCAAGGTTTCAACTCAAGAACCCCTTGGGGGTCAACAGGCCTTCCAACAATCACAGTGGCCTTCAACTGTCTAAGGTTCATGATAATGCTAAACAACGTGGACGTTGTATTCTCACCTTTTGCCTGTCGGCAAATGGAGGTCGGGTATCCCTTCTCGTCCTTCAGGATTTCTTCTATCCTCTCAAACTCTGGCTTAGGCCCGCTCTGGGCCAGCAATTCTCTTAGCCTGGCCAGACGGGCCTCGCTGTCAGGCATGAACATCATGGACTTCAAACCGTTCTTGTGGTTGTGCACAAAGTGGTTTGTATGAGTGATGATATCTGGTCTGCTCTCCATGAAATCGCCCATGTTGAGCCATGCTATATCCATAGACGAGCACTCGAGACCAGTACCGCCTGTGTAGTCGGCAATAGTGATATGGCATGCCGATGCAACACCTACTTTTCCTAGTTTGCCAATGGCGTCGACACGCGAGGAACTTTCCAGTGCTAGCCTGAGAGCAAGGTGGCAGGGCAGCCGGGTGAAGTCTACGCCTTCTGCCTTGATGGCGTTAAGGGTAACTCCAACGCCTTTTGAGTTGAGGCCCACCTTGCCAATAATGCCAGCCTCGGTGACCATATGAATAGTTGGCTTTGACGTATCTAGCGGTGCGATGTGCAACGAGATGAGATTTGGCGCCTGGTCATCTTCCCACTGAAGTAATAACAATACCCGTTAGAGAGAGAGAGATGGTATTCGGGTATATGATTCTCTGCCGGTTGTATCAACTTACATCCCAGTTCTGTGCAAGGAAGCTTGCACTTGGATTCCTCCATGAGAAGGCTGTGCATCCATCATCAAACATGCCATATGCAATCTCGGTACGCACATTCAACGCCAGTACTGATTTCACGTCAACACCAGCCCCCTGTGCGATTCCTGTTAAGAAGATGTCAATAGGCGGCAAAAAAAAAAGGACTAAGCGTACAGAGCAGAACTTGGAACCGGTGTAACAGAGGTTCCAGCCAGACCAGGCCAACATGCTGATATAGTAATATGTCAGCGATAAAATGAATAGCTCACCTCGTATCTCTTGCATATAGTTTGGAAACGTCGTCTCCAGTAGAGGCTGGAACTTGAGCGCTGTTCGGCATACTTCAGCCCAAGACATGGACGACTTCTGCTTCAGCAGAGTCTTGTAGAAGTCTAAGCTTCCATGTATCTCTTTGGAGGCCTGTTCTCCATGCTGGCGCCCTACCTAGATGTGCAGGAGAAGGTTCAGTGTCAGCTGGGCTCGACACGTTTATGACGTGGGAGCGGGTTATTATCAGCTTACATCGTATGGGCTTCCGTGGCAGACAACGGTGCGCATAGTGACCTCCCCTCCTGTGGACAAAGGACGAAACGTCGGTTGCTGTGATAACGATATATAACTGGTTTAACTAGCTAGGTATCCAGGTCGAGCCCTGTCAGGCCACTTGAGATCATCAACAGGGCGAAAGGGTAGCAAACTGTCGTTATGCCTCGTCTGATACACACTCGGCAAACTCCCTCCTTTCGCCCAGCGAGCGAATAATAGGGCTGCGGGGATGGCAGCTCACCCTCGGCCAATCAGCGGGTCGAGCCAGCGACGACGTTTGGTCCATCGCCCAAGTGTCTTCTTTGTGTCACCAACGGGGACGTGAGGGTGATGGCTACGGCAGACAGAGAGACGGTTGACTCTGCTGGACACTGACACTGCTACTGCAGACGTTCTTTGGCGGCTGGCAGCCTCGTCGTGGCAAGATACCGCAGCATGGAGTAACTAAGCTACAGACAGACAGACGAGCAGGAAGGATCCGAGCTACAAGCAGCAGCTTATACACCGAGGAGCTTAGATTACGTGGTGTGGACAGTCTTTTCAGATGCATACATGATGCCAGCAACTGCTCGAGAGGCCGTTCTAAGAAATGAAACCTTGGATAGAAGAACATCCACCGTCTATTCATTATTGTCTCTCCATCAACTAAACGTCCATCTCGTCGTCGTCTTTGATGTCCTTTTTTTTACCTTAACTTTTTCCCCTTGAAAGCAACAGCCGGAAAAACTTCAGGGACATCGGAGTTTTGATGTTCCTTGATCATTACGTAATATAACACCTTTAGCTCCTCGAGAAGCTTTTTGAGCTCTTGAAGCTTAAAGTCAAGATAAACAACGACGAGACAACAACCCGAAGCAAGAGAAGAGAGAGAAGAGAAGGACAGGGTTAAGAAAAAGCCAGATCACTGTCATAAATCCCCCAATGAAGCAGATTCCGTTCCCATTCGCGCTGAATATTGGCACCGATATCGTCCATATCCCCCGTATCCAACGGCTTGTTGCCCGCTCGGTCGCCGCCAGCACCAGTCTCGACCCTGCCGCTGCTACCAACCAGAAAACCTCCCTCTCCAGATTTGTCCGTCGTATACTCTGCGAACAGGAGCAGGCATACTTCAAGTCCAAGTTCAGGCTGTCGTCTATTGCCTCTGATGTCCAACTACCTCCTCAACCTATAACTGCCCAGACTTCCACGGAAATTGCAAGATGGTTAGCTGGACGGTTTGCTGCTAAAGAAGCGGCTAGGAAGGCGGCTCCTGGAGGTGCGTCAAGCGTAAGCTGGAAGGAAGTGATGATTCGAGCTGAAGCTGGCGGAGACGGACGACCAGAGGTAGTATATTTTCGTGAAGGAGGATCTGTAGGTCAGCTTGGGAAGCTATCGATCTCTCACGACGGGGAGTATGTCGTTGCAACGGTTATTGCAGCCACTCCAGAGTTGTGAGCTCAGAACCATTTTCCCTAATGCAGGTATCAATATGCAATTAATTCATTCCGCACGCCTCCTTAGCGATACGGAGTATACAAAGTGCCAAGAGCCGACCGGTTGTCACGCTAACGGCCCATCTTAGGCAGGGTGAAAGGACCTCAAATTTGAAAATGTCAAGGTTGTTGAGGTCGTATGCCTCCAATCTACTGAAAAACGCGAAGTATCTTTTGCATTGCGTGATTTCTCAGGTAAGAGGATGTGGCTTCGGTCGTTTTCACAGTTATTTGCGCCAGGACGCCATCAAGGTATAAGGACGATGGGTACCCAAAGCAGCAATCCGGAGCTGTTTGAGTACACGTCTGGTCGATTCCTGTAAGAATTATCCACAGCATCTTGTTGAACTTTAGTATTTTAATGGTCGACTATTATAGGTTTAACGAGCAGCTTCGTCTTGCAGAACGCCATGTGCAGTTTAATCGTGATGCTCTAGCTACCGTCATATGCCAATCTACCGGTCGACCGGAGTCTGATCTTATCTCAATAACGAAACTCGCAGAAGGTGGCTTTAACCGTGTGCTTCAAGCTACGTTCAAAGATGGCTATACGGTTCTTGCCAGGATTCCTTACCACTCGATGGTACCAAAGCGCTTTGTCGTTGCTAGCGAAGCTGCTACCCTTGGCTTACTACACTCGCGTGGTTACCAGTTCCAAGAGTTCTTGGTTATTCTGCAAGCAATTCAAACTCAGTTGGCGTCGAATATCTACTTTTAGAAAAAATCGACGGTAGCCCTCTCGGAGACCGGTGGTTTACCATTGGCAATAAAACTCGCGCCGAAATCATGAAGCAGATTGTCGCAGTCGAGACGCGGTTCATGTCTATTACATTCCCCGCAAGCGGCAGCTTATACTACCGTAAAGATCTCACATCGTCGGAACCAAATGTGCTATTACCCGAACAGACCACTGCCGACGATATAGCCGTTGGCCCTATTGCGCAGTATGAATGGTGGTATAAGGAACGAGCATCGTTAAACGTCGACCGTGGCCCGTGTACTGCACCCAGCCTATCTTTTTCTCACTAGCCAGAATTGCTAATCATTGAGGTTAGGGGAAACGTTTCTGAAATGCTTTGAAGCTCCGGCAAAACGCGAGATTAGTTTTTGTAAAGAATTTGGAAAGCCTCGCCTCCATGTCGAGCGGTACCTGCGCGAATTACACAAATTACAAAAAATGACACCGACTGCCCACGTCCAAGTACTGTCGCAATACCTGCAACTTGCTCCTCACCTAGAAATACCAGCAGAACACCCTTTCGCTCGGCCGGTTCTCCGACACCCAGACTTTTCACCTAACAACATCTTGGTTAATTCGGACAACGAAATAGTAGGAGTTATTGATTGGCAACATGCAGCCGTTTTACCTCTCGGTTTATGCGCAAACATACCATCTTACTTCCAGAACTGGGGTGACCCCGTGTCAGAAAGACTTGCAACACCTATGGTTAAACGACCTGAGAATTTCGATACATTGAGTGAGGCTGAACAGGAATCTATAAAGGAAACTATGCGGAAACAGATAGCCCACTTTTACTATGCTGCTTTGACAATGAAGCAACTACCTGACCATTTTGACGCGTTGCGAAATTATAACTCAATGCTTCGAGCAAAGCTTTTCACCTTAGCTGGGGCTCCCTGGGAAGGGGATACATTATCCCTCAAACACGCAATAATTGAAGCATACCAGAAATGGCCAATTCCTCTTGAAAAGTCATCATACCCAAATGTGGTTAACTGCCCTGTCCAATTTACCCGGGAAGAAATTCTCAAATGTGTGACAGACTTTGCGCAGGAACAAGAAAAGCTACAAGAGTTTACGGAAATGAAGGCTTGCGCGAATGTCGACTCAGTGGGGTGGGTTCCCGATGATGAGCACCTTGAAAAGTCAAGGGATATTGCACGAATCATCAAGGCAGGGCTTCTAGAGCATTCTACCACTGAACTGGAGCGAGAAGCCATTAGAAATCATTTTCCTTTCGATGATCATGATGAGGATCTCTGAACCCTGAAACAATATTCCCATTTCGTGGAAAAACTAGAGGGAGAAGCACTCCAAAGGAACCCATGCCATCGTAACGGCAATGGAAGTGCAGGAAGCCTTGGAAGCCGCTAAACATGGAATTGCCGACTAGTTCGAGGAGAAACGACCACTATCAATGACCACTATTCTGTTATCTCTCTCTTTGTCTGCCTGGATATTCGGAGTAAGGACGAACTCGGGCGCCTTCTTCCAAACAAATAGTTGCCGATACCTAAGAGTATATGCGGCCAATACTGATCAACTATAAGAACACCCGCCAAGTATAGCAGACTTCCTTTTAATAAGATATAAATGTATGCTACATTAGTAATTGCATGAACTAAGGAACTCGTCCGTAGCCAAGAGGATGCAAATCTCCAGAATGCTGCATGGTGGGAACAGGCGTAGGAGCCACATTTCCTCACCGCGAAATGACTGATGGTTACAAATCAACTTGAGTTTTCTATCGACATGAATCTTCCACCACGTCCAGTCTTTTCCTGCAGTTGAGTCTCCAAGGAGTCGAGTTCAGACTGCATAGCTGAGAAATCATCCAGATGTGCCCGGCTATTTTCGAAATCAATCAACTTTGCAGTCCCTCTGCGAATAATGAAATTGTACTTGTTGACATCTCCATGCAGCAAACCAAGTTTATGACAACATCTTTGCAAACTGGAAGGTCTCCAATCGATGCCTCGCGCCCTTCGACCTTCTCCACCAGGAGCCCAATCACTCGCCTATGCTCATGGACATGGCCGAGAAACCCCGGGGGGGGGGGGGGGGGGGGGGGGGGGGGAAACCTTTTTTCTTCCCCGCCCGGAAGCCCCGGGCCCCCCCCAAAGAGGCTAAATTTTCCCTACCATAGAGGGGAATTTTTGAATTCTCGGGGGGTGGGGGGTTAAAAAAACCCAAAACTGTGGGCCCCGGGACCCCGAAAAAAAAGACCCTCTAGCATTTTTGTGAAATTGTTTTGCCTCGGCCCAAAG